ATACAGTATCAAAACGATAGCTGATATCAAAAATATACTACTTATAGCATTATATGCAAAATTCAATATTATTTATATCTATATATGTTTGATTTTGAATTTAAAGGAAATTTTAATAACTTGAATATCTCAATCTCTATTACTTCATTCTATTATTACAAGCTTGAATTGAATTAGATTCAAAATCTTCTTTTACGATTATGTTAGAAAATAGCCAACAGTTGATTGTTTCAAGTTGTATAAGATTATACAGAGAACCAAGCTCGGTGATCTTGATTTCCCACTCTTAGTGCTCCCTTCCTCTTCCTCTTCCTTTCCTCTCCTATCCCGCTCCTAACCTCTGAAATATGAAGATTTCATATCCTGTTCCTAACCTCTGAAATTTCATTAATCAATCAATCATTCAATTTTCGTTTTCATTTTCATAATCCAGTCCACAATATATTTACATGTGTTTCCAGCATTTCAAGCCCATTTTTGATATTCCTTCTTGTTCCTAGTCTCATTTTAAGCTATTCCTCTCCATTCCCATCCTAAGATAAATTGACCACTCCTCCCTGTTCCTAACCCTAGGTGCCAGCGAGCCTATCCCTTCCTGCAAGATAAGATATGATAGGAGGGGAAATCAAGATCAATGACCAAGCTAGTGATAGTTATGTGATTTTATATATGAATGTCTTTTGAGACCCGCCGGAGTAGTACAAATCCATAAAGTTTACTAGGAGTGATGGCTTTTTCATCCAATTATTATTGTAAGGCTTACAAGCCGAGACTGAATAGGCTATAGTATAGGATGTTATAGGGTTCCTTCACATGTGAGGGATATGGCAGTGGCTTAATGACATCCATCGTTCATAATCCCTGCTTATCACCGCCTTTAAAATAAAATTTAAGCTTAGATAGGCTCATCAGTACGGGACCCATAAGCAGATTCGAAGAATTATTGTAGTCATGATGCGGTTGTACTTGCACTCCGAAGCCGCTGTTAGGATTGGATATAGCAGCGAATCATTTTATTCATAATGCGATTATACTTGCACTTCAATCCGCTGTTTAGGATTGGATATCACAGATACGATTTACAAGGTCTCTATACCTCAAAGTCTATTGATACATAATTCTGATTGACCCCCATTGGTTCAATTAAGATACGTTTTTGGGTTAATTGACTTGTTTTCATCAATCACCTCCAAAGCACTATTAGGATTGGACTGACAATATAGTTGTACTTGCACTCCAAAGCGTTATTAGGATTGGATATCGCAGGTGTGATTTGCAAGATCTCTCTCTATACCTAAAAGTCTATTGATACACAATTCTGATTGGCCCCCCATTAGTTCAATTATCATTCATAATTTACCTTTTTGGACTAGTCTATTTGTTTTCGTCAATCGCCTCCAAAGCACTGTTAGGATTGTATATACTAGTAGCAGATACGATTTGGAAGAAAGATCTCTAAACCTAAAAGTCTATTGATACATAATTCTGATTGGTCCCCACTAGTTCAATCACCATTTATAAGATACGTTTTTGGATTAGTTGACTCGTTTTTGTTAATCAGATCCAAAGCACTGTTAGGATTGGATATAGCAGATGCGATTTGCAAGGTCTCTGTATCTAAAAGTATATTGATACATAATTCTGATTGGCCCCCACTGGTTCAATCACTATTTATAAGATGCGTTTTTGAGCTAGTCGACTCAATGTTCCTTGATCACTTCCAAGTATCCAAGTATCCAAGTATTCAAGTATCCATAAATATTTTCTTCTTCATCCCTCCCTGCACATTCTTGAATCTCCAGCAACAAAGCTTTTCTGTCTATTGAACTATTACTTGACCATCTCAACTCAAGCACTCATATTTCAATCGATAACTTTACCTTCAGATACTTTGTCTTTCACCACTTACCTCCAAAAGCTTTATACACTTTACTCATATAGTCTTCTATTGGACTTGTTGAAGCGTATACCGAGTATTCATATATACTCTCCTCGATATACAATTGTATATCATATCTCTCTCTCCCAATTTGTAAGCCAATTCATTGATACCCCGTTGAACCCATTTCAGTCCATTGGCACAATCATCAATCATCATTTCGACAGGTTCAAAGCTTTTTGAACATTGAAAGATTTTAGTAGACCGACAATTGTTGTGATATGTATAGTTCGGAACCAGAAAGCCATTACAAAACTTTCAATTCCGCAACAATGGTTGGTTCAACAAATGATGAAGAGGTGCTTAATGCTGCTCGGATTCTATTGGCGATCAATGCCAGTGAACCATCGCCCGCTCCAGGAAGCAAGGGAGAGAATGCTGCCAGTACGGCAGCTGCTATGATTCTATTGGCAATCAATGCCAGTAGACCAGAAGAGGGTGCATCACCCGCTCAAAGAAGCAGGAAAGAGACTGCTACCAGCACGGCAGGAGAAGCCGAGGCTAGTAGATCCCGATCGGATTCGTCGGGAAGTGGTTCTCGGACCCCCCGGGCCTACGAAAGGCAGTATATCAATGCCAAAAGGGGGGCAGACGGAAAAAGGGCACCTCCAAAGCGCCGACGATAAACTCTTTTGCCCCGTATCTTTGGAAGTAGATGACAAGGCATTCATGAGAAGTTGCACGGAAAAATGAGGTTAGTATTGATTCAGCCTTCAAGTCAGTAGTAAGCTAACATGGACTAGGAACTGTGGTTAGCATTTGTGGCGAGCGTATAAAAGGGCATGAGTTGGATAGCGGGAATGTTGTTGATGATTTTGGTGTTTTGGGATGATACCTTGGGATGTCTTGTTTTTGCAGATATTGTTTAATGTAATTTGAGAATACGGATCCAAGTAAAGCAAATCTGAATCGTGTATGAGTGAATCAAAAAAGAATAATATCAGGACAGTAATGAATAAATGCCAGCAGTATAGTAGGAGCGGTTGAGAATAGAGAGCCATCAAACCGGCAGAGCACCACACGAATGTTTGGCCTGCGAGATAAGACAAAACGTCCTACCTGCAACTGAGGTGCTCCGTCAAACATGAGAGCAACCAAACTTCAATCGGCAGATGGAAGAAACCATGGAAACTGCGAAAAAAAGGCACTGCCCCGTCGTCACCTCCAGCAACTGCAGCTTCATACAGAGTTCCTCGTGCAAAGCTGGATGCCAGCTCTGATGTAAGCCCCGGTAGTACCAACTTTTTTGCCTATCAGCAGAAAGTCTCTTAAGTGGCTGTTGCTTTGGGGGAGAAAAAAAAACATATTGATTCTTTATCTGTTCAGTGAGTGTATTCAGTTTTATTATTACACAGTTACAAATAGAGCTGAATGTTCAGACATAATTAAACATCAAACCAAGGCTAGGGACCGGGATATATCATCCCCGGGAAATTACTAACTTCTACATTACAGACAACCTTCACCGAGAATACCAAAACCACGCTCAACCAGAAAACCCAAGCCAACTTCATCCGCAGCCCCTTCAATATCTTCCCTTGAGTTGAGATCGAGAACCCCGTCCTCACACTCACAGACGGAGACGCAGAAATACTTGTTGATTCTTTATCAGTCAGTAGGTATAATTAGGCAGTCCTCTTGTTCCGCGCTTCCGCACAGAGGGAGTTGGATATTCAAAATTCACCTGCCTGCATATCGAAACTCGGCTAGAAATCAGAATATGTCAATCTTAACTAACCAATTACTAACTTCCAACCACACAGAAAACCCTCACCCAAAACACCCAAATCATCCTCAACCCGAAAACGCAAATCGACTTCATCTGCGATCCCTCCAACCCCCTCCTCCGGAATCGAGAATCCCTTCCTCACAGGCGGCACATTGTCGTTGGAAGAACAATTGGATCACAGTCGGAGAGAGTCGGAAAAGATGATGGATGAGGGACTAAACTAAGTATTGGGATCTGGATAAGATTGGGCGAGAGGCGAGACGAGGTGGCCAGGAAGCGTGGATTGTTACTGAGGTGAATGTCGATGGTGTTCTAGACCTTGGGGTGCTATAAGCCTAAGGGATGAGGGAAGATAATGGGGATGGGTTAGGGGATGGTGTAGGGGATGGTGATGTTGATGGGGTTCTGGTTGTATTGTCTATGCACATTTGGGACATGGACATGGATATGGATACGGCAGCAGAGAGGGGGAGATGATTATTGACTTGACAACTACTCTTTCGAGTTTGTTGCGTTGATATGAAGATCCTTACTTAACCTGCATCCGAACATTGACACTGAGAATTACACTCAATTCCTAACCACCATCTCCCTCAATCTTCTACCAAAACACTAACTATCATCTCTTCATCGATGAACCCATTAACCCATCAACCTGTCTGTATTTGTACATCCAGCTCTAACATTCTAACATTCTAACATCCTTGTTGGAAGTGGAGGATAGTACAGCTGTGGATATCAGCTGGCTAACGTAAGCTTGTGACGTATCGTATCGTATTATCGTATAAGCTCGGGTGCATGTTCTGAAAAATTTGTAAAATTCTCACATTCTTACATTCTGTCACGATAATACTCTAACACTCTAACACTCAAAGCATATTCAAGCTCAATCCCCATCCCCAATCCATACGTACATTCATACGTATCTCACTATTCCTCGACTTCGAGAAAAGAAAAGGAATGGAAAGGTACGGGTAAGATTCAGTAACATGTTTTCATGGGTTCAAGGGCTGAAAGGTATATTTGTGAGTCATCGGGGATAACGAGATTTGTTCTTTGAACGAGATCATCGTCGGTTTTATATGAAGGTGTGGAAATGTTAGATGAGTAAGTAGACTGGCATAATTAAAAGCCATTTAAATCTTAGCCAGTGTGGTGGTGCGATGCGGTGCGGTGGGGTAAGGGAGTATGGTTGTTCATTCATTTTCTGTGGATTTTGACGTTTCCATAATTCGCTGTAATGCATCTTGCTGGATCATTGTATTGGATTGAGTTTGCAGAAAAGTTTCCTGTGCTACGAAGTCGGGCATCTCGTTACAAGGGAAGGAGTTACGCAGATCATGTTTCGTTCCCTCTTTAATTGTGTAATTTTATTTACTTTAAGGTGCTTGAGAATCAGTGTTCTCTTGATCCTTTGCAAAGGTACCTGCCACTATCAGTGGGAAACAAGCAGTTGCTTCCACATAAACCTTGACACTATCAGCGCCAACCTTAATCTTTCCCCAACTGACCGCTTCATCTGGTCTGGCTCCCGCATCACTTCCATCAAATTCCTGCGCTGTATTGATGTACACTGCGCTCTCGGCTCCGTTCCTCATCAGACATGCATTTGCAATGTGATGTTTGACTACACCTCCACCTAGAATAATCATTCCTGCTCGTTTGGCTCGCACGGCCATGGTGTTGATTTTCCGGATATCTTCGACGAGATCCACGCGGAGTTGCGCGGGAGATGATTTGAATGTGTGGAAGTAAAGCATATCGCCCAAGGAGCCATCGGTAAGTGCTGGAGAGAAGATAGGGATGTCATTCTTGTAGGCCCAGTAGAGTACAGACTCTTCATTGTTAATCTCCTTTCCCAATCTTCGGATAATCTTGCTGGGGGTCCAGTGGATGTGGTTGTCAGCATCGGGATCTTTTTTCGATTCTTCTTGCTCGGAAAGCATGGTGTCGAGAATGGGCATGAGCCAATCTTCAAATGCGCAGTAGTTGTTATTGGGCACAATCAGATTTCCAATGCGATTTTGACCTTTGGCGCGTAGCTCAGCGCCAGGGGTAGAGAATGAACCAATGAAGGTGGGGCCAAGGCATTTGATGATGTCTTCTTCGACGCCGCCAGCAGTGGTGACGATTGCAGAAACGTGGCGGTGTTGGACGAGGTAGCGAAGAGTGCCACGGAGTCCACTTGAGATTAGATTGGAAGTATAGCCTAGAAAGATGGTAGTTCGATCTGAGGTTTCTGGATCACGCCATGCGCGCTGGGGGTTATTAGGTTTGCTATTGCTGCTTGAGATGGAGATGGAGATTTTCGTACCATATCGTTGATTATTCGGACAGCTTCACCAATGGAACTTGCTTGGAATCCCATATTATTCATACCAGTCAAAAGGTCGTCAACGGTAATGGGACGACCAGCGAACTTATTGAAGTCAAGTTCTTCGACTTTTTGTGCATCAACCGGCATTTCGTTTGAAGGGACAAGAACGGCATCCATGACAGATGATGGAGGTGCTCCATCGAGATTGGACGTTGAGGCCATTTTTATTTATAGAATTGTCTATAAAGTAGGTCGAGAACTCAAAAGGTTAATACTCGTACTACCTTTCACGTGGTTTGGTTAGTAATGATAGCCAAAGACAGCACACGACAACCAATGAAAATCGTCCCATTCGAGTACTTGTAAAACACGGCGAATCTCCTGTCCATTTTATGAGTCATGTAAATGTGTCGTACAACTAGGATACCGGTAGTTAACTTACTCACGTGAACTTTCAAGCTTTTTCTTAGCGTTCAAATTTTTAATTTTGAAGATGAAGATGCTTCCGCAGTTGAGGATGTTTTCAGAAGTATTGAGTACCTAGTGTTCAAAGGGAATGTTTGGAATTTGTGTAGAGAAAATGAAGATCGTTATCAGTCTTTCAAGAAAAGAAGCATATACCGACCGGTACTAGGTATATAGGTATATCTTCATATATTAAACTTCTATCAAAAAGTTTTGATACAAGGATCAAAATCAAAGTGGGATGAATAAGCGAAGTGGTGGTCCATGCGGCATTTCCATCTTCCGCGATCTACAAGCATACCGGTAGTTAAGGTCGTTGCTCTGCCAATGAAAATCCAAAAACTTAGATAGCCTTATCAAAATATACTTAAATCTCTTATCTCTACTGCAAGGGTTTAAATTTAAGGTGAAATCTCGAGATCCTATTGGAAGGTGATCCCCTTTTGATCGACAAATTTACTAATTCCAGATATGATACACAAGTTTTGATCCATTTTACCCCAGTTTTCTATATACTAAGAGAGAATACCCTTGCAGTGGCTTTCTCAATTCTCCAAAAGAATACAGTACTTACCTATACAGTACTATATGTCTTTAATCAATTCAGTAATGATTTTTGATTACTACAGTAGTATTTAGAAGTTCGTTGGTCGAAAGTGGATTGAAAAAAAGAGTCGGTCTACTAGTATACTGGTACTCTACTTCCGTAGTTTGTTCAACTAAGAAGAGAAGTCCAGACTCTAGTCAAAACCTTAAAATGAACTCTAGCTGTAATAGAACAAGTGAGTAAATATCAAAATATCAAGTATCTATCTACCTTATTCGATTTGTTCTATTGCTCAACATGATAACACAAAAGGAGGACTCAATATCTTATAGTATCTAGGTATCTAACATATAAGTCAGAATCTCAATGGAAATGATATTGTGGCTTACCCATAGGCGCGCCGATAAGTGCGGGGGCGCAGCAAAATCTTCAAGGGTCTCGATGCAATGCCTCGTATATAAGGTGTTTAAGTGTTTTATCACGAATTACGGGCGACTATTAACCACTCTTAGCTCCTTCCAACTTTCCTTTCGACCTTCTTAAATGAATTCCTCGCAACGCACTAACTATATTCAAACCATCATACATCATTATTATCAAGTACTGGAAGAAAGCCAGATAGCGACAAATTAATACAAATTGGGGTTTTCCCCTCCACCCTTCAGGCTTCAATAATGTTTGTCACCACCTTCTATACACTGCTTGGATGATGGCTAACCAATTGAATGAACTAGGACTCGACCGCATACGGATTATGAGTACAATGATGGAAGACGCTCCCCTCGAGATCGATCTCCTATAGATCGGTCACCAAGACGATACCTCGACTCCCGCGACTCGGATACTTACAGAGGTGCTGGGCGAGGTGGAGAAAGACGTCGATCACCATCGAATTCAAGAGCGAATGCTGCTTCCTTCAACCACAACCAAAATCGAGAACTTTTTGGGGATAGGCATATACCTCCGCGAGACCAAAACCAGAATTTGAACCGAGATACAAATCGAGATACAAAACGAGACTTAAACCGAGATACAAACCGAGATACAAATCGAGATACAAATCGAGATACAAATCGAGATACAAATCGAGATTCAAACCGAGATTCATCCCTGCGCGATCCTCCTCGTGGACCAAGGGCGGCTGGTTCCAAAATTTATATCGATCCCCCAAGCGGCCCTCGTGGAAACAGTTTCAGCGATGGGTATCGAGGCGATTTCGGATATCGGGGAGATTATAGAGGTAGCAGAGGTCGTGGTCGCGGAAGAGCTGGCTGGCGAGAAGAGAGCAGAGATCGCGACCGAGATCGAGACCGAGAACGTGGCCGGGAAATAGATAGAGATAGAGACTACAGAGATCCGCGAAGGGATAATAGAGGACCTCTGGTCCCATTCCGAAATGATCGAAGCCGTGATCGCGAGTGGGGCGGTCGGGACAGCTTCAAAGCCAGGAGACCTTCTTCACCACTTGTTCGAGGAAGATCCCCTAATTATATCGGTAGAGAAACTCGTGATGCGCCTTTAAGCCTGGACCTGGACCGAGCTCGAAGAGGTTCGCGAGACGGTCCAATGGCTGTTACGTCCCCTTCCTCCGAATCATCTCAGCCGTTTGTGCACGGCTACGGTAGGGCTAGAGGAAACGGAGTAGGACGTGGACGCGGTCGACCCTATTATGATGAACACTACCATCGACCTCAAGTCCGTAGTAGATCTCCCGAGCCAAACTTTCCTCGCAGAACTCAACCTTCAGCTAGTAAGTTTGGTGGTCTTGACCGATTCCCTTCCATTTCCCATGTGGCCCTGGTTCCTGTATGTATACGAAACGAATGTATGTCTTCTGATATAATGCTGACTCTATAGCCCCCCCTCCCCAAGTGCCCGCATTCGGATCAACTGGAACATCTGCCTCGGTCAGTCAAAGTCCCATTCCAGGTATATCGGTCCCAACCGCGCCCCGTTTTCATGCAGGCCGAGGGGCTCCAAGCAATCACTACGTACCAGCAAAGCCTATTATTCCACAGCCGATTGAGAATCCAGCCTTGGAGCTCAGATCGGAAGCACAAATTATTGCAACACCCGAACATAAATTTGATGAAACAGCACGTGTCAATGAAACACGTCGCCAGCGCAAACCCCTTTTTGGTAGACGGCCACCCCAGATACCGATTCGTGACGACTATTCCGATTCGGATTTAGATCCCTTCAATGATGATGACCCGGAGGATGAGATCAATTTCGAGAGTGAATTGGCGCAGGTTCAACGTGACATGGACATTGCTCATAGTAGGTCTGACCCACCTACCGTTGACCAGGTTTTCTATATGAAGTCATATATAAACCATCCTCTAGTCGCAGAGGGTGCACGAGACGGTTCCGATGCGATTGCCGAGTGCATTGTTCCCAATTTCGAAACTGTTGAGCCTGGAATGAAGATGCAGGGCGCAATAAAGTCTGAGCCCGACCCCGAACTTTCCTTCGAACCTGAACAAGGGCACGACGCAGTGCTGCGCGAAATGCCACCTTCCGGAACCATTATACGTGAAGACTTTCATGATTCAGTTTTAGCACCTCCATCGTCTACCATGGCGATGACCATTAGTGGTGGGGAAGACGAGCAATCTCAAGGGCCCAATCACCAGTCGCAAGTAGCTGACGATGGGAAATTACGTATGCCCTTGGGAGAATCCCCACTGCCAACAGTTCTACCTGTTACATCCTTGGGTGTTCTCAATGAAACAGTAATGTATTCCACATCATTGCCTCTTGACAGGAGTCGATCGCCTTCGGAAGGAGAGCCTCGCATTCCGACCAGATTGGCGGACACTGTTGGTTATGCGCCACCTCATCACACGATGATAAGAACCGCTTCAATGCCTCTGCAAATAAATTTCATCGACGAGGATACTTCCAAAGTTGATGCGTTCAAAGACTCTTCACCCTATGCCGATCCATCTGCCACCATTGAGTCTACAGATAATCAATCTTCCACGACTGCATCGTCATTGTTACCAAGCACTGATCTGGAAACCAACGATCCCACTAGCTTGGAAACTCGACCTCATGTGGCGGGATTTTCGAGTTCGGAGAGACCAGCGCAGTCACTGGAAGATCATTCAAAGTTTATTTTGGATCCGGAGAGAAGAAATGTAGACTCTTTCACGGAGATACCTCTTTCTGTTTCGGAAGAAGCATTCGGGTTTGAAGCGGAGAAGGACATCAATCTGATATCCTCAATAGACTCTATCGACACTGAGATTCGGCCGGATGCTCACACACCTGAAGATGACTCAATGATTAGCCCAAAGACTAAAGTTCCCATTCAAACATCAATGCTTGAAGTTACAAGTGGTGATCATCCAATGGAAGGTGTCGTCTCAGGGGCACCGGAAAGAGATGGACCTATCAACTTGAATATTGTTGATGTTAAATTTGACGAACCCGAAGGGGAGACCTACCGCGATCGAGGTAAACTAGATGGAGCGTATGACTCTCCTGCACCGCATACATTGTCACGAGTACCACAAGCACCAGAACTCACGATGGGAGTGCCCGAGGATAGTGATGACGACGAAGATGAGGCCGAACAAGCCGGGTTTCAACTTCTACGTCAGAAACTCGTCCAGCAAGAAGCTGCCCTTGAAGAGGACCGCCAGTTCAAAATCCTTGAGTCTGTTAGACACCCCAGAGATACAAAGACACCTCCTCCAGAATCTTTACCGATGTTCAACTATAACAAATGGGACGAGAATCCAGAGTTTTTGAGCTACCTTGAACTTGGACCCCATACTGATTCCGGTCTGACGAGCTTAATCGAGAAAAAGATGGCGCGGAGATGGAGGGAGCAACAAGAACAGGGGAAGTTGTGGTCAGAGAGTTATGCCAAATACCGCAGATTTACTGATAAAGATGGTGGTCCAGTTGCTTCTCAAAGCAGATTGGCCTTCACTAAAGCCCGGGATAAAGAGAGCGAGGAATTGGTCGAAAGAGGCAAGTCGGCAACTGGTTTAGAGCTCAAAGCAGAGGGCCAGCGGCGTACTGGGAGTAGGTTTGCGACGGATCAAGAGTTCGAGCGTGTGCTTCGCGAATCTGAACGTGAAGCCAAAGAATCGAAAGAGCAGCAAGAACAGGACGCCAGGGAACAGAATGCAAATTCCAAGGAAGCGACCATTCCAGACATGTGTTGGGATGAAGAGTATCAAGAAACTCTGTTTGTGGATACCACGCACAAGATTCCCTTTGATCGATCATTTCGTATGCTTGAGTTTGGCGAATCCATCGATAATTTCACAGAAGAAGAGGCTCAGATTTTCCACTTGAAGTATCACAGTTTCGCCAAGCAATTTTCCATCATCGCACAATCTCTTCCGCATCGTGACTACCAGGCATGCATTCAGCACTATTATATTGTTAAAACAACAGATGCGTGGAAATCAACCTTTAAATTGAAGAAGAACCAAGTTAAACCCGGTAGGAGAAGAGGAGCAAAAAAATCTAGCGCCCTCATTACCAACGTTGAGAATGGGGGCGGCAACGAAATCGAAGCTATACCAGATGTCGAGAGTGGAAATGAGCGACGTCGACCCAGGCGAGCTGCTGCCCCAACTTGGAATTTTGAAGCACCGCCACCCACCGAGAACGAAGGTGCTAGTCCAGCTCCAACCCCGGCAAAGAAAGTTGCTACCCCGAAAGGAGACGCAAATGGTGAATCAGCTCAAACCAAACGAAAAGCCAAAGCTCCTCGAGAAAAGGCTCTGAAGCAACCCAAGGCTAGTCAATTGTTGGCAGCTGCTCCCTCCCTTGCTAATCGTAACGGCGAATCACCAAATCCTCCTTCCTCGACCGTTGCACCCGAACCCCCCGCACCCATCAGGCCCCCTGTTGCTCCTACTCGTTTTGCTACACATCATGATAATCTTGGTCTTCATCAACGTCCAACATTCCCACCTCAATTCATGCCACTCGAGAGACTTACAATGGCTAATCTAGAAGTGCCACTTACACCCGAGCGCATCGGCTCTGCCCCTCCAACAGGTGTCGAGTCTCAACCGGATCGTCGTTCTGCCGTTCAACAACAAACCTCTAGCTATTGGAGTGTCCCAGAAGTGACCGACTTTCCTGGACTACTACGACACTTTGGTACGGATTGGTTTGCAACTGCAAAACATATGGGGACAAAAACGCATACCATGGTATATAATGAAATTTTTTCCGAGTGGCTTCAGATGTCAAATGGCCAAGATGGCCCCAAGCGTCACGCTAACATTGCTGAACAGGTCAAGAACTATTATCAGCGCTCGGTTGATTCTGGAAGTAAAAAAGAATGGGAGAACATCACTCGAGACGCTGATTCGAGACGTGAAAGAGGTGAATCCACTGGCCCGCCACCGACTCCTTCTGCCCCAACAAAACGACGTTACGATCCCACGCCCGCACCCCTGTCCAGATCAGCATCTGCTATGGATCTCGCTACATTATCTGCAAACGAACCTATGATTCTCTCCCTAACCTCCCCTGCTCAACCCTCGTTGAGTGCCAGATTCCCAGCCTTGGCTCAAGCTGGACCGGTGCCTCAATCAATGAATCAGACAATAACTCCTAGTTCCTTACCGCCGTCTAAACGTTCGCATCATCAAGCTAACCAACAGAGCGTGTCTCAGATACCACCAGCACTACCACCACCACCCCCACCATCATCACAACAACAACAAGAGCAACATCATCATCATCTTAATCAGTACCAATATCAGGTCCAGCATCCACATCACCTTCAACACCAACATCAACTTCAACATCATTACATAACACAGCAACAAGAACAAGAACTGGAAACAGCACAAAAACCACCACCACAACCAATCTCTCAATCACAATCACAATTAATGCAAAGCCAACAAGTTAGACAATCGAGGGGCCCTTCTATGGGATTCTTCGCGACTGACAATCAACGCTCCACCATGCAGAATGCTCTTTCTCAGCAATCTCAAAATGCTTCGCCAATTTCAGATTCGGCCGCCGCCGCTGCTTCTCAACGATCGGCTCGGGTCGCTGAAGAAGCCGAATCGGAGAGGCAGAAGGCTATCCAGCAGGAGTCAAGGCGAATAGGACAACAACAACTACAGGCACTGCAACAGCAGGCTCTACAACAGCAACAAGCGCATCAACAAAGAGTAGAGCGTGAGCAGCAACAGAGAGAGAGAGACATAAGAGAAATGGAGATTCGTGCCAATGAACAGCAGCAGCAAAGAGAGAAAGAGAAAGAGCGAGAGAAAGAAGAACGAATCTCAAAGAAAAGAAATGAGCGGGATCGTGAACAACTAGATCAGAAAGGCGAACAACGAGAACAGAAAGGCGAACGACGAGAACAGCAAGATCGAAAAGAAAAGCGAGAACGAAATCTTCAGTTGAAGCAAGAGGAGATCGAAGTCCGAACCCCACAGCAGTATGATCTATACTTTACGCCCTCTGGCCGTACAGGATCAATGGCACCTTTGAGACCTGAGGCTCCATATTCGGCAGTCCCTCCGACGGAAGTTCGAAGGCAGGCTCCACGTCCAGCTCCACACCAACAATACACACCGCGAAACCAAGTAGTTAGAAGTTTGCTCAGTGATGGTATGGGTGTTTCTCAAAACATGATTCAATCTCCCTCTCCAGCCTTCGGCAGACCTACCATTAGTACCCCGCCCATTCAAGAACAGTATTCGACACCCCCGCCTCCACCAGCGGGTGTTAGTGCCATCCGCCAGCAAGACACACCAAGAAAGACTTCCAACATCATGTCATTGTTGAACGATGAATCTAGTGAGCCTACTAGCAATGCTCTACCGGTACTACGACCTCCAGTACAACCACAACCACAACCTCAACCACAACCACAACCTCAATCACAATCACAACTTAAGAGAGGTGGTGGTACCACAATAGTTCCCGTGCAAGGTACTCGAACCCCACCACCTACCCAACATCCATTACAGACATCGCGTTATTCATCACACCCATCACAGTCTTTACAACAACCGCAACAGATGTCTCAACAGATGCAACAAACCCAACAAATACAACAGATACAGCAGGTTCCACATCAGATATCTTCTCAGACAAATTCACAACACGGATATTCACAAGCACCTTCCCAATCTATGCATCAACATTCGTCTTCGTTGGGTCGCAGTTACACGCCAGCGATTTACGAAGGCCGAGGTGATGTGCCCCCACCAGCTGCACAGCATCACCCGACGATGTATTCTCAGCCTTCTCGTCAAGCAATTAGTTCGCAGTCATCATCCATTCGTCGAGAGCCTCTAAACGAATTGAATGCTCCTGGTGGATATACGCGAAGTCCAGTCACAAAACTTAATGAGTCGCCCTATTCTGCTACTCCTCCAGCCAGTCAACAACGTGGGCCAATGTCTTCTCCTAACAATTTGACTCAAGCTTCTGATCGTGAAATCTATAATCGTCAATTGCAGTTCGCTGTGCCGCCGCAGCCAAATACAGCGGTAGACTTCCATGCCGGGCATCATCGATCAATGACTTTTGGGCAAAGTGGACACCGAACTCCGCCGACACGCGGCCAATGGGTCTCAACTCATCATGTGCAAGCACGACAAAACAGCTTTGATGGGCGAAATTATAATGCCGTTTCATCTGCGTCAGCTCCAGCACAGCAAAGTTATGCCCAGCCACCTTCTCATCATATGCAGTATCAGCAACAGCAACCTCAAGAGCGTTTTGATCATCACTATGAGAGAGAGCCGGAGCGAGAGAGGCAAGAGAGACAAGAAAGGCATGATAGGGAACAGTATTACCGAATTCATGAGGATCAACGAGATCTAAGGCGGTAAAGGTGTCGAAGTGTTGGGATTGCAGCTCAAAATTGGGGTATATTTCATTCAAGGTTAAATTATGAATGAGGCTCTTGCTTTCAAACTTGCACTAGGTTTTTGTTGTATGGCTATCCGTGTATGCAATCTCTAGGAGAGAGTTCTCATAGTTATGAAGAGATGTTTTCGAGTGGAGGAAGGGAAGGAAAAAAGCTCAATGACCATTCTTGTAATGTGAATTAAGATGGTCACATGATCATGCATTAGGCGTATCATGACCATATGAGCCACGAAATACCACTACTCTTATCGTTTTCTTACTTGTTCAATAAAGTGGAAGTAGATGTCAAAGCCCAATTGCCCAATTTATAGCATTAAGGTCCTTTGCGGGTTGATCCGGATTGAAAACATTGTCAGGTGGGGAGTAGTCTGGCTGTTGCCTGAGGTATCTAGGCTAGGGTAAGGGCTAAGTCCCTCATACCCTCCTCCACCTCGAATTCTGACTTCACCTCTTTCTACACAGCCCCCTCTACATGGCCCATATTCACCACCCCTACCCCATACTTCCCCTCAGTCCATTTCAAATTTTTATTCTCGCAGCAAGAGTCAGTATGCTATCTACGTTGGCTCTCCTTTCAATGAGCTTCCCTATATGATTCCTTCACGATTTCGACCATTCAATTTTACGTTTCAGCCTCAAACCTTACCATTATGCGAAGAAACGGAGGAGTAGTCCTAGAAATAAACACAATGCATTGAGGTATAGAGTGTACGATTGTTACAGTAGCAGGAAACATGAAAATGAAAGTTTGCCAGTGGTATTATAGGCATGGACATAAGGCATTTGATAGCGCGCGAAACTAGCGTGGCCGCCTGAGGTATCAATCAAGGGTTATATCGTCGTCGGTTCAACCTAGAACTAAAAAGAAGACGCATCCCACTTATCATAAACTACGTACCCTCTTTTCAGTGACTTTTCTGCTGACCTACGCGGGAACAAAAAGAAATACGCCTTTATTTCTATCTCTTCTATTCCAGATAAGATTTATTTGATAAGAAAGTGGTGTCGCAGCACCATATATCATCTTATTCAAAGCCTCGAAACTATGCAACAACGTTTCCGATATTTTCATTATCGGCCGGAATGTCGTATTTCCATTCGAAACCACCTTCGAAAGCTCTCTGTTCCTGACTCGTCCTCGCAGAGCCTTTCAGTCAACCCTTCAACATCACCTCTTTGATATTCGAATTTTCACTTCTCCTTCGAAAGGTCTCTGTTCCCGACTTTTCCACACTGTCGCACAGCCTTCTTTTTCCATTTCGAACCTTCTCCTCGAGCCCTCCAAAGACATCAACTTTCGAACCTCCTCCTTTCAACTATTCGACATCACCTCCTCAAATTCACATACAAATCAACGTCGTACAACAATCACTTCACCACATTCATCTCACTTTGCAGCACGATTTCAATAATTTCCAGTTTCTCTTTCAAGCCTTTTATTGAAGCTTGTTTTCACCTGTCTCCGAATTTCAGCGTCCCCATGATGTATGGGAGAATCAATACATATACCGATTCGCTTCTAGTTAAACTGATCATTCTTCATATCAGTGCTCCCTCATTTATCTTCATTTGTGGCTTTCAAATCATGTTGGCTAAACGCCTCTGAATTGCTTCGAAAATTCATCGATTTTATCACTTCAACTTATTCACTTATTTCATCACTTTTCCACTTCGTTGGTACGCTACCTACGTATTCGGTTTCGACGCATAGATATCACTATATAGGACAGGTCTTTCAACCATAGGTTTCACATGCAGGATGCAGGGATCTCAGGGTATGGATGGTTCCTTTTGTAGTTGTCTTCAAAGACTCTCTTTTTTTCACAAAACTAAATAATCTCATTTTTTTAGAGCAATGACGATGTATGATACATGAGGGTATGTGTTTTCTCTATTCCCGACTTAGGATATGGGAATAGCTTCACTTTAGCGAGCTTTTCGAGCTAAATGGTTCAATTTCTTGTTGCTTTAATAGAATCAGATCATCCTATCAAAATGATGTTTACTTGACGTTTCTATATTAAATGAAATCGATTTAACTTTTCTTAATTATATTTGATTAAAATAAAAGTTATTTTATAAACTTTTGATTAGTATATTAGTAAGCATATTATTGATATTATTAAATTATTTAAAATTATATAAAATATTGAACTAATAGTAGCTATTTTTATTTTATATCTCTCTCTTTACAAACCCCGTATTCGAATCGGGCTCTCATAACCAGATCTATCTATTATATAGAAAAAGCTAATTGTATTATTTATTGCTCGTTATAGGATATCTCATGGATTAATTCATTGCTATTTGTCAAATGGCAATATATAGGAAATATGCTATACTGAAGATGCAAACTCTGATCAAGTACTTAGTTTGACTAGTGATAATAAATAAAAATGCAGTAGGCTATAAGTAGAGTATATTCAAGAGAGATTCCGATTTCAATAAGCTAAGTTTTCGTTTGCTGGAATATAATTCGAAGGCTGTCTAATAAATAGTGTATAAAATCTAATATTCTATTAAATGTCCTTTCTCACTAATATAAAGCAATAGACTCTTAAAGAATGTCTTACGAAAGATATTAAGAGCTACAAATGATAGAATCGATCCTATAAATTATTTTGTATTAATACTAAAACTATATCTATATATTCAATCTAATGAACTAGTAGTATTCACCCCAATGAATCCAACTCATGATCTTTAATCACATTCACTTCACTTCACTTTAGACTGACTAATCATCGGAGTTTATGTGACATAGTAGGTTATTCTAGGATAGTGTTACACTATCAAATTTCGGCTATAACTTAAAAAGCCAAACTATTTCCCATATATCTCTATCAATCACTAAAGTCTCTCAACCAATGCTTATTATACAGCATGGCTTTCTACACTGAATTATTGATCGACCTTCAAGATACTCTTGGTAATATAATGCGACCTCGTTTTACTTCGATTCGAGTCATCACACGCCCTCGTAGTCAAACTCTACCAGCAAATTTCGCACCATTTCCATTTTCCACCAAAGCTTCACTATCTTCTCTTGCATCAAATCCCGAGAATAACGATGGAGAGATGAAATCAGATCAAGTGTTGCGAGGAACAGATCTTTTCCGCACACTCCTTGATTATTCTGGCATGGAGGCCGTCCGCAAAAAGCTGGTTGGCTTTTTTCGACTCGATAAATATGGCGCAGACAGCCTGAGAACCATCGTTGGTAAATACAGTATCTCTGACCCTACTGATACAAGAGAAGTAGGCACGAAAGTTGATGATGAGGGTAAATTTGGTCTATTCAGGTGGCTCCCAATGGAAGTGAAAGTAAGTACCTCTCATTCAGTTTGCATCATACATGTCACGGTATCATGGAAAAGAAGGCTTATGAAATTCCAGCTCAAAATCCTCACATATGCTTTCGACGATCCTCGAATAGTCTCCGTCTCCTGCAAACAACTCAAACACAATGCCTCCTGTCACGGCCATACTCGACTTGTCTACAGTGGTCCGCAAGATCCTTATCTATACGTTAGTCACCTCACTCGTTTCCAAGCACTCCAACACTTACATAATTTGATTCAATACAACACTCTTCATATTGGATGCAAGGCATTTCCAACAATAAAATACAACCCTGTCAGCGATACAATTTGGATTCGCGAAATTGACTTTTGGTCGTCATCGAATAAGTTTAGCTGCTCTCTCACCCTCCCTTCTCGCAATCGAGCTCTTCACACTTTGGCAATTACCACTTCATCCAACAAGGCCATTATGGATCAGGATAACTTATATCGTTTGTCTTGTATCCTATCTCACTGGTTCAGAGGCGTGCAAGAATTAATCGTCATTGTGGATCATCTGGACTTTACTACTCCTGGCGTTCGGGACGAGATTGCTTTCGTTCATCGCAAGTCCAAGTTGCTTCCGAAGCATCGTATAGTTACCAAGTATTCGCCTGCCATTTCTTCCTTATCGGTAGAATTCATCGAAGGTTTACTTTTTGGAGAATGGAAACCAGAGCATTGGTCCACATTAGTCTCCTCTCTAAAGAAGTCATTTATGTCTTCATTTATGGAGAGTCAGGAAATCAAGGAGTCAAGGCCAAATCCATTTGATAAGGTGTCGGCAATCAAGGTACATGTAGGTCTCTTGGATTGGAAGTCGCGTCTTGAGTCGTTGAATGGTGGGATCCTTCCAGCTTTTCTCTTGTATGAATGACTCTACTAATAACAAAATACTTAGGTAATGGTGAAGAAGGTCGGGGCAAGATGATTGAGAACTTTCGCTCATGGAGGGTTCCTACTATTAAACTTCTAGCAGCTGCTACTCGCAAGCAATTGGAAGGAAAGGATCATGATTAGATGGGTATGATTGCATGAAGTTTGGAACAACGGCTCGGTTGCCGTGGTAATTTTCGTATCAAAGAGAGGAATTGGGGGCTGATAATAGCAATAAATATTACACTAGTATCATATATCCTATTGCGATCATCCCATGTGTAAATCATGTAAGATCTCGACGCATCCCATACATTATTGAACCTCTCAAAGTATATCATCACTTTTTATTCCTATATTAGTTGAAGAAAGAACTTTCAGACGTATATAAATACACTATCTGGAGGATCTTATGGATAATGAGAGTGGCTGAGACCAGAATTCCAGACTCTAACAAACGAGGTCAATCAAACTGATTGCTTTGAAACGTACATTATTTTATCATTATGGTAAGACCTCCATGTATTGCACGTTCGGTCGAAGATTGCTGTTTTGATTGAATATACAGTATTGAAATGGAATGCTACCGGGACATAAAACTGTTCAACGGATAGGCAAACTCTTGGATCAGTTTCCCGGTCTCATCTGACATACAAGAAATCTTTTAACCAAAACCCTCTAGATTTATAGAGGGTATTATTAAATTCTAATCATTATATATCTTCAAATGGGAACTTGTCAGCTCCACAGATCATATGCCGGAGCCGGGAGGAGGGGGGATTAAGGAAGGGGACAAGTGAGTTCGTGGATTCTATGTGCTTTATAATTTGTGCTGTGTTAAGCCTTTAATGGAAGAGCAATTCATTTTTTTTCCGGGGTGACTAATTAGTTCCGTGCCGCTTGATATACAGAGTGGCTGTAACTTCATAATGCGTTTAACCTGTCTATAACGCTCATGTGCAGAATATGCGATAGTTCCGTCACGGTGCTTACATGAAGCAAGAGTGTGAGAATAAGGACTCTTTGCTAACAGCACAGCAGGAACTAGAATCTCCTAAACCATCTTAGCGATTTTCATTCATTACTATAGTAGTTTGTAACTTCCGTCCATTCGAATCATGTTTCACGTTTCAGTAACTCTGCCTGCTGGGTCTTCACCCACTTTTCGTCCTTCTTTTGCCGGTACTGCTCTTCCAACCTTTTCCAGTATATTCTCAATGCATTTTGTAGATAATACACTATCGTAGTCTCCGTCGTTAGTATATGTATCGTAACTCCGGGAGAATCAGTCAGTCCCAAGACTCTTATCGAAATTGTCGATGTCCCCTCTATTTGCCTAGTTCATATCTGTCGTGGAATATGTTTTAATCGTTTTCCAGCTGGCAGCAGCCATTGCTGCGCACTCGAGAGGATGGACCTGTAATGTATAGATCCCTTGTTTTGATTGATAGTTTAGCAGACTCGCCGCTAGCTTCGCTGCACAGTATTGTTCAAACTATATGGCACGGCCATCTTGACCACGGTGCTCGTCGTACTCACAGTACTTGCTGCGCGGCTTGACAGAGATGTATTTCGGATCTAATTGACTGCGTGGTAAATGGGATGTAGATTGCGATCTCGGACTGGAAGCCTTTGAGGTCTCCAGTGTCTCCAATCCAGCCCAATGGATGTTGTCTGTCCCTGCTTTCTGCCAATCAGTATTCTGTTCGAATAGCCTTCACTCATGTTATAGCCCTCTTGCTTCTTGTATGTCACATCTTTCAGATGTTTGATAACCCATTGTACTTCTTTGCCCTCGCTAAGCAGTCGACGCTCCCCTCGCTCCTATTTTCCTCCAACCTCTTCGCCTCTTTTTGGTCTTCAATATTTGTAAGTCCTAGAGTGAAGTAGGTCTCGAACTTGCCATCGCGTATAGCAAAGGAAGGGAGGTAAACCTAAGTTGGCACATGTTACTATAGGTCACGCCCACTACTCGCTTGTGTCCCGTCCCAACCCTCCAAGCCTTTTCGTCGCTTTTGACCTTGTTATTCTGAAGTTTTAAAGAAGACAATACTTTGGTAGCATGATTGCCTTTGAATAAGGCGAAGAGAAAGTTGCAAAGCTAAATTAGCACGAGATACTCTCAAGTATCTCCCCCGCTCGTAGTCTGCCTTCCCGCAATTGTTCTTCTTACTTTCGTTACTTCTTTCTTCAGATCTCTTTGTTCTCGTTATACCTTGGCGTAGAGCTTATGTCGTATTTGCTGTCGTGTAGAGCAATTTGAAGAGGAGGTAGACCTAGATTTGAACAAGATGTCCTCGATTAGTGCCTGCTTCTCATTCAAATTCCACCTTTTCCACGTCTTTTTTGTCCGCCTTTTCTTACCATGTGCAACTCCTCTATTGAAGACTACTATATCAAGATGTAATGAAAAATGTATATATTAGGCGTACGACAAATCAAAAGGGGTAAACCTAGCTTAGCATGGGAATTTTCAACCACCTCTTCCCCTACTCATATTCTGCCTCCACCATAACCTCTTTGCCCGTCTCCTTTTTTTCGGTCTCTTTAAACATTCATGCCTGTACCAAGATGTAGTGCGAGTCGTTTGCTGTCGCGTAGGCAAATCAAAGACTAGACCTAGCTTACCACGGATATCTCGATCACCTCCTCTCCTACTCATATTCCCCCTTCCCCCCAGCCTTTGTACCTGTTTTATCTCTCTATCTTAGACTTTAGTACTCGTACCTCCTATTCAAGAGTGTGGTTAAAGATATGTTTGCCGTCATATAGAACAAAGCGAAGAAAAGGGGCTCACCTAGATCACTACGAGGGATCCTCTTTGACTTCAACTTGGGAACTACAAAGTATACATTATAAAATTCAATAGGAACTCATTCTCTTGCCGCATTAAGGCAGAATGTTTTATCATTGGATTGAATAAGATAGGATTTGTTCACACTAACGATATCGGGCACCATCTCCTCGGCTAATTTCATCCATAAACCCAATACACAACAATTGAATTTTAACAAACTGCAAACTCAAGAGTCATCACATTGTTCCATTGATGACCACGATGATTCGTTTTATTTCTGCTTTGAAAAAGAGAAGACTTGAAAGAGATCTGACAACTGCCACAGAATGCGAATCAGCATCTGGTACACAACAAGCTCCAGTGGGAGCGAAAAGACTTCAACAACACCATCGTTTCTTGGCCAGAGTCAAGGCAATTTCGAAACGAGTGCTCCTTAAAGGATCGAAGGTATTAAATGGGAATGACTTGAGAGCGATTAACACAACTTCCAGAGCACACATCGATGGAGAAAATCTTGAACTTGTCCAGTCAGGGGGGGAAAGCGGAAGGACGTTCTTCGGATTTGAGGATTTACCAATCGAACTTAGGGTACGTATGCACTTGATTCTATCTAACTATACAATCCATTGAAATTTCTTCTCCAATCTATGTCCAAGTCAAGATCACTGACAACTGACGGTTTTTATTCCATTAGCTCGCCATTTTGGAACTGTATCTCGAACAACCACGCATTACAACATTAAACTTCCAATCAGACGCTATATTACAGTACCATTGCATCTGTGGAAGAAGATTCCGTCTTACCTGTGGCTCTCTTCCACCGATCTTACGTATCAATCATGAATATCGGGAGACCTTTCTTGAACGTTTTACCATTCCAGGAGTACCAAGATCGCTGACGACTTTGAGCCTTCAGGATGCACTACATCAAGCTTACAATCAAGAGCCTACTGTCTTGTATGATTCATTAATTGAACCATCATCAAGCGTATTTCCCGTTTTTGCAACTCATACGCGTAGAAACCTCCTTTACGATCCTAAAGATACCGTATGGATTCAAGGAGACTTTTGGCTCGATGAAACCCGTCGATCAACACTTGCTCGGTCTGTCTTTTATGGTTTACAACATCTCGCAATCCCATACAAGACTCGCAAACAGACGCTATTCGAGCTGGAAGACATGTGGGATTTTGTCGGGTGCATTATCTCAACCTTTCCGGACCTGAAGACCATCACCATGGTATTAGATGTCGGAGAAGTAATAGCGGAGAGACCTATCTACACAGGCGAAATCAACTTTAGTTCTCCTGCATCAGTCAAAATGGTTGTTGACGTTCCCGATGAAGCTCCTCCTACGTCCCGTCAAACTCTCTCTCGAATCTGGAGACAGGCGCTTGGCAAAACAGCACCATCACCAGCAGTGCAAACTGAAAATGAGCATTGGACAGCAGAGCGATTGGCATACGATGCGTGGCGTATACTCAATCATATCAAAGAACGCGCAATCGTGATCGGATATGACTGTAAGTACATTTCTTCAACTGTCACATGCACTCAAGATTAATATAGCTTTCTGGAAATCCGACTAACCGATATGTTCCACCATAGTTCCTGTTAATAGCTGGGAGACTCCACGCGAAGTGGCAGACTGGGTAGTACCTGCCGTCAGAGTCGTCACCGCACACTTGAGTACAGCGTCTAACGGTCGAAGAGAACAAGAGCCTACCATTAAATTACAAGAGTGGTAGATCAATGGAAAGGCGGTGAGTGGAATGATAAGATTTGTTTCATATCACAGGCGGATATAGGCGGATAATTGGGACTGGATCTGTGTCTGCATAAGCTTCTGTATTTGACTGATTAAGTTTTGCTTCCCATTGCAGCAGAGGAAAGTGAATAGCTGCGTCTATGAGAGATTTTATCTAATGATATTTCTTCACCTGAAAGCCCTGTCCCTATTTCATTGATTCTCCCCATTGTTATAGCACAGCTGCGAGAGACTCGACCTGTTACCAATCATTCCATGGTAATAGGATGTCCAACGCTTAGCAAGATTTGATACTTCCAGCACACCACGTTATACCAAACATGGTGTGATTCCTCGCACTCCTGATACCCTTCATCACAGTACTCCTGTGGTGTTAGCTCGCCTCTAGGTCATTCAAACGAGCTTCTAATTCAACTACATCTCGAAAGCCACATATAGCTGGATTTCGCCTCCAACTTTAATGGCCACCATCCTGCTGTCTAGATGCCCTTAACACCTTTAGATATCGACAAAGATTTCTATCGGCACCTCGTTATTATACTTTGAGCCAAAATTTATATCCTAGACACTCAAAGTCTCTGAGTGATACCGATTGAGACTCAATGAAGGTTAGTCCAACTCGCACGTGTCTTTCATTTAGTCCTGCCGATGCTAACATTTTACTACTTGTCTAGCCACAAGCCTCTCCTTCTGATTATAAGAGCAAGAAACTCCCCTGCATCGACGATCTATTTCAGCATTAGTCGTCACACCCTGTCATAGCCCCCTCATCTATAGGGTTCCAGAACTCAGCATCTCGCCTCCCGCTTCAATTATTTGCGGAGTTTACTGCTCCGTCACCTTCTCGGCTTGCGCCGAATGAAGAAGAGTAGGAGTCGCGCCGGTCTTATGAAAGCAGATGGCCAGCCCTACCCCCCTGCTTACCAGATACACTACGCCGGTTCTCTGGCCGTTAATCATCCAGAAGAGTTCAAGCAGGCTGAAAATTCAGCCTATAGCTATCGCCAAAAGGCTTTCAAAATGTACTGTTATAGCGGACTATTCCCACAGCAGCTCTGTGCCAGTTTGGCTCAGAGGACAGGCTATTTCGTTCCCTGTACCCACTGATTAGATCTGGAGAAAGGGGACCTGGGAACCCCCTCACCAGATTTTGCTCGCGGCCCGCGGCTCACATTCCTGTACGTAATATTTGTCGTTGAACTTCACAACTTTCAGATAGGCAATTGCTAACTTTCGGTGTAACAGGTTTTTACTGGGCTATGTGACGGAAGATGAGCTCAGATCCTTCTTCCAAGGCTTCGGCGAAATCACCTAAGGATGCTATCGTTGACGATACCATTCAGTTACCGAGTCATCTGCTGATGATTGTATATCCCTGGACCGATAGGGAAAATGCCGCTCTCGATAGCTGATATACGAGAAATGGTAGTAAGCCATCTCGCTGGTAGTCCAGTCAAAGTGAAGGACCAACATCAACCTGAGCATATTCGGAAACTAGGACAGTGGGTTGGCATACTCAAAGAGAAGACTGTCAACAATTTACTCGCTGCTGTTCGAAATCTAGTTGGATCGACGAGTGAGTCAGGTCTTGCTCTTCTTACTCGGAATAATAGGTTACTGGATCGATTCTATGTGGATGTTACTCAATATGGGTTGGGGCTGTCACAAGCTGGATTATGGCCGTGTTGTATGGATATTTGGGGATTGATGTAATAGATGGATTAGCATAGAATGAAAGTATTTCATTGTTGCCTTGAAATTGATACGCTTAGTATTGGCGAAGACTAAATGATCTGATGACTTAAAAGAATGCCCACTCAATTTCGCAGTGATAAGTTCCTGCGCTATGTCCTCTGACTTCTTGCTAGATCTGTGCTATGGGAATAAATGGTCACGGCAGTCACGCTTACACAACAACATCTCAAGTGGAACGAAAACACGCATAGATACACAAGGCTCTTTGACTACGAAATCAACAACTTTATTTGAGACAAGCCCAAATTGTTGTATTGAATATGGAAAGTAACCCATTCCCCCACTAACAGCCCCACCGAAACCCTTAGATATTATCAGTCAGTCACGAATCAGTATAGGACCACAGCCTGCCATAGTAGAGACCTCCACTCCAACAATGCTTTAATTTCTATCCCCGTATTCATAATCGATCTCCGGCTGGAAGCCATCGAAATTCTGGAAGTATTTGTTAGTTGGATCAAAGGTGACGATGTATAGAAACGTCGATGCGTGGTCGATTGTATGAACTTACGAGTGACCCCGATGACCCTACTCAATGAGTATTTGATCGAGATATGTAAGATTGGTACCACCGATCCAAAGAGATGGCAAAATGAGCGGAAATTGCAAGGATGTACCAAATTGGAATGAATTTTTTTCATATTGAGAGAGAGTTGCCTTCTTGTCGCACATTTCCTGAGCAGAAGTAGTCTGGGTATCGCGGACCAACATACTCGGGCCCGCAAGACTGACACAAAAAAGGCATTGGTTTAGTAATCCAACATAGTTGGCTCCACAAAGACACGAGGCGATCAATTCATTGCGGACTTCGGGATTGCTAGCTGGAGCATTAGACTCGAATATTTCTGTTTGACAGTGCTGCCATAATCGACGTGCTGCAATGCATTGACCATCCACTAAGGACATTGGTTAGCTGGAGCTCAAATGTTGTAGGATATATCAATATCAGAGATAAATGAATGTTACTTACTATAGCAGTAGAAGACAGCAACATCAGTAGGCTTTCCCCATACACCAACTTGTCGGGATTCAAGAGGCACAGCTGCAGCAAGGATAGCTGGGATGAATGCAACCAGTGCAGAGATGAACAATAGAACCTTCATGTTGACGTTATTAACTTAATGGTAAAGCTGGTAGTTAAAGGATGCAAGATTATCTTGAAGTTTTGTATGCCTCCTTAGTTGTCATCAAGTTTGATAGTTTTGGGGTGGAAGGTCAAGGAGGCCTGATGGGAGGAAACATTTAAAGATAAGTTCAAAGACAAATAGAATACTGCACAATTTGTAATCTTAGTAGTGATATTGGATGTTAACTCTAGTCTTGACTGACATTGCAGAAGTGTAGTGAATGATCCTTGGCCCTTGGTATGGGTAGATTAGAGATCTATCTGTCACAGGGTATGTGATCTCAAACCGACAATGACCGAGGCATCTATTTCCTCATTCTCTCTGATCCTATTATTCGAGATAACATTACACATAATTAGCAGTGGTTGACTCTATAATACCAATGGAAGGACCTAGAGCATCAGATGCTAGAAAGCATCCTAGGCTGGGAAACGTGCAACGGTCCTTGGCACAAGATCTACCACTACCTTTACTCAGTTCCCACAGTAGAAGCTTTATCTTCATGTCTTTGAACTGCAATACCGAGTGTGAATCCATTCTTGAGAGACAGAAATGCATATTAGGAATGTAAAACACATAAGATCTGCACTGGTAAAAGTAGCCAACCAAACCTGGCTTTCGAAACACTTTTTGATACTGGAAAAGAATATGGGAGATGGTACAACTTCCTTTCAACTTAATGACACAGAAATGAGTAGCCCAGGGATTGGTAGATGACATCATCAAATCATGGTCCCGATGTTCCCAGTGAATCTAAATACTTGATAGTCTTCTGACCGATTCAAGAGTCCCATCTCCAATTACACTACCGAATGTCGAATCATAATAGAAAAATCAATCTTAGACCTGGAATAAACAGCACATCTCATTCATAAGGGAAGAATAGTAGAAAGGCCGTTATGACGGGACTCGAAACTTGGAAAGAGGAGTGTGCTTTCAGCCAAGACAGAAGACAGGAGACAAAAGATAAAACTGATTCATTAGAGACTTTGTAATCTGAGCACACCCGATGAGTTACAAACCTCAATCTTTCAACCACACTCAGTCATCTCATTGTCTGACCTACTCGGCCATTTTCCTTTATGAGACCTCCTTCAACACTCCAATCATGCAGACTTTTGAAGGCACTTGATATGCCACACCAGACAGAAAATACTGGTCATGAGATGTTCACTAGAACTCAGCAGCTGTTGAGATTATAAATTGTCGAACGTACATAACTCCTGTTAAGTTCATAAAGATGCTTTGTAATCTCACATCAATTTTGATAGGTAGGTTTCACGGTTATTGTGATACCACATGAATCCGGTCATAAGTCAATGGGTCTTGTTTGAGTGAGTTGTGGGAATTTTTGCATTAATAAACAGCCATTAGCTCAATGACGGCGCTCCATATGTAGTGTCGATTTTGGTGGAAACCAATGAAAAGCAACAAACGGAGCTCAATGCGTAGCGTTGACAACGTCATTAAGATTGGATATATCCCCAAACATAAACTCCGAGAATGTCGATAGGTAAAATTAAACGAGACTAAATTGCAGGAAGACATTTCCTAAACATCAGTTGGATATTCTTGTTGGATAATGATATCTCGATGATCGCCAAAAGTTCCACCACCCTGAATCGTTTCCTCATCAACGTCTGTCTCCCATGGCTTACGGCGCTTTCGTGCAACTGGCTTGGTACCTTGGTCCGTGAGAACTGTATCGGGAATATCACGGATACCTGGAATGGGAATACCAGCTGTGATCAAAGCAACAATTTCAGCGAAAGATTGCGGGTAAGGCGCCTTTGAATCAGCTTCAGTACTAGCAGGTGGTAGGTCATCTTCATGATGAAGTGGAACATTGGAGGATGGAGTAAAGTTTGAAGATATGGGGGTAATTTCAGGGACATCGGCGGAAGAAGTTGCGGAGGATTGGGTGGCGAGATATGATTTATATCCATCGAAATCGATGACGATATTCTTCTTACGAGAGAGATAGAAACATTGAGCACGAAGCGTCAATTCTCGAATTTGATCAGGAGAAGATGCATTGCCCAATATAGCAGAGAGACCACCCTATTAATTGTCAGTATATAATTGCGTGCAAATGAAAGAGGGGGGAGGGGGGTAACGTTGAGATTACCTGGAACTCTTGATCAGTATCCCATGAATATGATTCAAGATCCTTGTAAATATCGATATTACGGTTTCCAGACTGTTCAGAACTTTCAGTCGCCATTCTCGAGGATGCTATGTATTGTATGAAATGGTGATACAGAGAATAGAGATAGAGATATGAGGTTCTGATAGAATATAGATCAATAAATAAGTAGCTTGGTAGTTGTTGTACTAGGTATATAATATAAGGCTGAGCGGCAAAATGGCACAAATGAGTACTAGTAAACGTAGTGAATTAAATTGCCGTAAATGGTAATTTTACAATTTAAACCAATCATATTTCTTCATATTCTTAAAGTCGGGGCTTTGAAAGCGGGTCCCAAACTGAACAAGACGACAATTTCAAGCGAGCGCTTCCCTTGCCGCACCCTTAGCTTAGCTTTTCGCCAGAAGAACACACAAACCACTTCCTCTCATGCTCCTCCACAAAAGTACACCCAACCCAACATTATAAACTCTCCCATAACATCAACATCAAACACCTCAATTGCCCGATACCTAACCATCTTCTTTTCTCTTTTGATTTTTCTCGTTTCTTTACTCTACAGCTAGCTGTGAGCTGATCGCAGTTTAATCAAAGCAATATGTCAGAATTCATAGGGTAAGTTCCAAAGGCTGGAACTGAGAGAGTGTTCTTAACCAACGTCCTGCAATGCATACTGACAATGGCGCGTTCACAGATCGAGGATATCATTGGTATCAAGGAGCGATATTAGGTATTTGCGATGGTTGAGATGTATTTGGCCAGATATTGACACGAGTTAAGATATGTCGGTACACTCCATGAGATCAACTCGGAAAACTCAACAGTGGCCTTGGAAAATGTTAAATCCCATGGAACAGAAGGGCGAAAGGAAAATCCGGATGATGAGATTCAGCCCTCGGATAGCGTCTACGAGTACATTGTCTTTCGTGGTAGCGATGTAAAGGACTTACGTATTGAGGAGGCGCCTGCACCGAAGGAAAACAAACCCCCACAGGTGCCCAATGATCCTGCGATTCTCGGAGTAAGTGCGATCCTTTCTTTAAACCAGTGTACCAGTAATTCTTGATACTGCTACCTGTCAACTACTTATAAGTGATGAAATATTTCGGATGTTAAATCATATTGTCTCCGAGAGCGCAAAACCGTGTGGAGATCTTCCGTTGCCTTCCTTCTGATTTTAAATATCTCAACCATATCTTTATATTTCAATGTTTGCCGCACTTTTACTGATAAGATCTGCCATTATAGAGCGGAACTCGTCCGGGCCCCTCTGCACAAGCTCCCCCAGCTCCCCAAAACCAAAATCAAAACCCACGAGGACCTCCTTCGCAAGGACAAAATGGTCCTCAACAGGTACCACCACCAGGCATGGCTCCTTTTGGACAATACCCCCCTCATGGGTTCTATCCTCCTCCTCCACCTGCAGGATGGGGTCGAGGTGGTCCCCCTGGTCCAGGTTTTCCAGGAATGTCGCCATTTGGTGGTCCACCAGGTTGGTATCCCCCACCTGGACATGGATTCCCACAACACCCTGGTCAATTTCCCCCTCCCCCAGGGTATGGCTTTCCACCACCAGCTCAACACTTTCAACAACAAAACCAGCAACAAAATCAGCAACAAAAGCCATCGCCAATTGGACCTGGCGCGAACAAACAACAAACCCCCACTTCCGCGACCTCAGCAGACAAGCCAACCGAGGCGCAAGCTCCTGGCGCTGAAAGCACTGCTGCACCACCAGCTCCCAGACAAGCAACCCCACCCTCCTCCAAGACTGCTTCGACTGAAGCAGATGCAAACGCTGCAAAAATATCTCAGTCTGCAGCTCCGCCGGCTGTGCGAGCTACACCAAGTGGTCCCAAAGGCGGTCGTGTCCAACCGGTAATGCCATTACCTAGTCCTGCAGTCTCTAAAGCTGCATTGCAAAATACCACTGCCCCTGCACCTCCAAAACAAAGCGATGCTTCCACAAGTTTGAGAGATGCTACACAAGCTGCAACTGCCGCTGTTGCTGCTGCAATGGCCAAGCTTCCTCCAGTTGGAAGTCAACAAACCAATGGAAATGCTGTAGACAATTTGACAAGAAAGGTTAATGAAATGCGAACGACCGAGCCCGTCCGCGCTCCTAGACAACCAGGTACTAATGGATTTGCGGCAAGAGGCCGTGGTCGAGGTGGTCGGGCTCTTGGTCCAGCTAAAGTTGATGTTCCTTCGACCGACTTCGATTTCGAATCTGCAAATGCAAAATTCAACAAACAAGATTTAGTCAAGGAGTCTATCACTGGATCCCCACTTGGGGAGCAGCCTCAAAATGATTCCAGTGCACCCGAGGGAGATAAGGAAGAAGCGGTACCCAAGGCATACAACAAAGCCACATCATTCTTCGACAACATTTCGAGTGAAGCGAAGGATCGCACAGAAGCTGCTGGAAATAGACCTGGTGGGCGTGAATGGCGAGGTGAAGAACAAAAGAAGAATGTTGAGACTTTTGGGCAGGGAAGTGTCGATAACGGTCACCGTGGAGCATATCGCGGACGCGGACGCGGTCGTGGTGGTTACAGAGGAAGAGGTAGTTATGCAGGCAACGGACAGCCTACACGCGGCCGTGGTGGAGGATATCGAGGTCGTGGCGATGCCGAATCCGTAGTGCAATAAAACCATACTGAATCGTCGGTCGAACTTTGCTGGAATAGGATAAGTTTTCTTTGCTCTGTATGAAAAACTTTACGACAAATCTCTGGGTTACAGATGACAGCAGGGATGGAGAATGGGTATTCCTTTACACGTATTCACGGTCATTATCTTTGCACTTTTCTAGCGTGTATCACCAGGATGGTTTCGTTATCGAGGCTACGACATCACTGGACATTCGTTGGTTTGGGTGGCGCATGAAGCGGCCTATCCCTGAATGAAGGGAATGGGATTTTTTATTTACGAAGACAAAATGGTTTCTTTTAATATCAAGAGACCTATACTATGGGGAGTTGTCAACGATGAGTCGATAAATGGCTAGCCGGGGTGGATTGATTTTGCTTGAATGAAGATTGCCATCCGTCTCCATTATGAAGATCTCAAGGGCTTTCCTTAGCGGAGGATACCCCAAAACAATTGAGATGATATGAATGAGTGGGGGAGAAAATGGGGATAATGGGTTCGATGGTCAATGGAACATGGGGACTAGATACAGCAGTTCACATCTTTTGAGGCACAAACCAATCACTGTCGATCCAAAGTTGATGTGCACTTTGTATAATGTGAAATATTCTATTTGAACTTTGATCGAGGTATTAGAATGGTGTGTATTCTCCAACTTAGGAATATTACAATTATGATACCATTCAATCCTGCGACCCTCTACTAATGTAGGATATTTGAAGGAAGATTAAATAATCTCCTGTTGATAACCATTGACTTGAGCGCTTCTTGTCATTAATACATATAGATTTTGAATATGCAGTAATATACCCATGCATCTGTCCCAACTATAAAAATCTCATTATATACATAAACCCATCCTAACCATCCTTATTGTACCTCGTCTCATGGCTACGATAGCAACTCACGAAGAACAACTACATTGCATAGCCCTATCCCCTCTAGGAACATCCCCACACCACCTCTCCTCCTCTTCCCTATCCCCATCCCAACTCTCTCTGAAAGGATCACTCACCATCTTCATCACCCTATTGAGCACATCTCTCTCACCACCTTTATCCACTCTCTTGATGATTTCATCCAGAACCCATCCCTTGGGGATAAATTTCGGATTTACTTTCTTCATCTCCATCATGCGGTTCTCGTCATCGCCATCTGGTCCCCAATCTTCGTATATTCTCCCTTGCCATTTGGAAAGCCAGTCGCTGAGACGAGATGTGGCGGAGTCTAGGGTATTGTTGAGACCAGTTACACCTTCGTGGTGAAGAAATTGAGTGGAAATTTCCTTGCGGGAGGAGGTGGTGGCGAGGGAGGAGATGGGAATGGAGGAGAGTTTGCGGAAAAATTGGTTGAAGTCTAATTCTAGGGTTTCCATTGTATCGAGAAGTTCGCTGTAAAGGGTGTCGAAATCTGACTCTTTGAATGTTTTGAGTCCCAGACGAGCGCTCATGAGACGCTTGTATTCCGCTAAAAAGGTAGCTTTATATTCTTCGCCAATGCGAGTAATTAGGGCTTCTGCGCGGGAGACAAGCTCGTCGGCGGCTTCTTGGCGGACACCTTTCTCGATAAATTCTGGAGAGTCGACGTTCGCTCCCGCGCCCATGAGTTCGCCAAGTGATTCACCAAGACGGACAAGATTCCACCAGATGATGGTGGGTTGATTGCGGTAAGAATAGCGTAGCATATGATCGTCGTGATTGGAAGTATAGTGAGGGTCGAAATTATCGAGGAAGGCGAACGGTCCGAAGTCTATGGATAAACCAAAGATGGACGTATTGTCCGTATTGAGGACACCATTGGTGAAAGCATATGCTTGCCACGCCGCAACGGTTTTCGCATTACGACGCACAATTTCGCGATACAGACGAGTAAAACGGTTCTCTTCGAAACCAGCTGGACCTTCAATTGTATCTTCGGATACTCCTCTTTCAATTGTTTCTGCTTTCCCGTCATCTGCAGGGTTCCTCGCAGGTAGTGATTTCCATCCTTCAAACACATTCTCCGCAATATATGTACAAAGCTGTCTAATCAAGACTCTCTCTCCACGAGCCCGTAATATATCGAATGTCCCAATGCGTAACCAAGACTCGGCGAATCTTGCTACGATAGCCCCGGGTTCGAGTGTTTCTCTCCTTACTTTCGAATGCGGTAGAAGAGTCAAAGACAGAGCTCTCGTGGTAGGTATTTTTAAACCGTTCAAGGCCTCTGAGACAATGAATTCCCTTATACTTGATCTCAACACGGCTTTCCCGTCTGCAAATCTCGAGTAAGGCGTTAATCCTGCACCCTTCAACTGTAACTCATATCGGATGTTACTACTCGGATTCGTAGTCTCGAATAAAGATATCGCCCTCCCATCCCCAAGTTGACCTGCCCAGGAACCGAATTGCCACCCACCATAACATTGCGCCCATGGATATCCACCCTCCTGTTTCTCTGCATTCCATCCCAAGATTATGTTACCTGCAACTGTTTGTTTAAAGTCCTCTGTATGTTGTTCTCCTTCCTTAATGCCCAGGTCTTTCATCGCGGTAGAACTTACAGCGAGAAGTTCGGGATCTTTCGATTCTTCAGGTCGAACCCAAGTAAATAATGCGCCCTTCACCTGCCGAGGTCCAATTTCATCGCGAGCGGTGTTGTGCGATGCGGCAGGTGTTGGGAAGAGAGGATCGGGAGGGAGCGAAGATGTAAATGTCCATGATTTGGGGAGATTTGCGAGAGATGTGCCAGTATAGGAAGATGGTTTTAAGCCATTGTCTTGCGAGAGATGAGCTGCCATGTGAGCTATACGTATGCGGGGTACTCGAGCTCTTGGAAGGTGTCTTGAAAGCATCAACGAAAGTGCAGATAATATAGTAGAAGGTAGAATAGACTAAATGTTATGTATTTGAAGAGATTCCATCAATAAAGAGTATAATCTGGTTGTAGACTTGAGTACTTTTTGGTATTTGCAGTTGATGCCTTGAGGAAGTGAGAAATGAGGGGGCAAATGGAAATGTCGTGCTCGGGCTTTACTGCTTTACTATAAAATGATGGCGGGGTTAATATTACCGGTATGGCTAATAAGGCAGGTAGCACCAGTACGAATACAAGCAAAGAGAATAGCCACATTCTTTGAAGATAAATGTATTTCTGAATTCTCCATCGTTTCTCATGAGTATAATATTCAAGCGTTTAACCAAATCCTCCTTTCGTCCTCTCATACAACGTTCCTATTACATACATCTCCCTCTCGTTCGGAACATCATGAATTCTGCAACTTCAGCATATCAAAGCTCTTTCGGAGCTGAAGGTAATCTAGGAATTGCTCCAAAGCAAATGTCTCAATTGCAAAATCTCAAGTTGCATGATGGTACTGAGATTCCAATGCTTGGATATGGACTCGGAACTGCTCAATACAAATCCAATGCGGACGGACCTGTCGACAAAGAGATCGTGCAAAAGACCGTTATGGCCATCAATGCTGGCTACTATCATTTGGATGGAGCTCAAGGTACTTTCAATCAGCCGACCCCCGTTCGAGGTGTTTTTCTTTATAACACATATCTACAGTATACGGCAACGAGATCGAGATGGGGATGGGAATCAAAGAATCCGGTGTACCTCGAGAGAACTTCTTCATAACTACTAAAATCACTGGCACCAAAGAAGTCGACACTCAAGCTGCCTTTGACAATTCCCTAAAGAAACTTCAACTCGATTATGTCGATCTCTACTTGATTCACGCTCCCTATTTTACCAAAACACCTCAAGATCTTCAAAGAAAATGGGCAGAGATGGAGGCTATTCATGCTTCTGGAAAAGCCAAATCCATTGGAGTATCTAACTTTCTACAAAAGGATTTGGAGGTTATCTTACAAACGGCCAAAATCATCCCCTCTATCAATCAAATCGAATATCATCCTTACCTTCAACACGGTTCTTTGGTCCCTTTCCTCCGCGAACACAGTATAGCTATAGCAGCCTACTCTCCCCTAGCAGCTGCCGTCAAGGCTTCCCCAGGACCCCTGGATGAAACCTATGCTCATCTAGCTAGAAAATATGGAGTCACACCAGGAGAGATAGCATTGAGATGGATTATCGACCAGGGAATGGTGGCTCTGACTACTAGTGGAAATGAGCAACGATTGAGAGCTTATCAGAAGGTCAAACTGTTTAAGTTGACACCGAAGGAAGTGGAGGAAATTGCTAGGATTGGTAGCGAGAAGCATTATAGGGGGTTTTGGAACAATAAGTTTGCACCGGATGACAGATCGTAGATATATTTTGCTGGAATGTTGAAAAGGAGACTTAGCAAATATGTCAGGTTAGTGAAAATATCCATGAGTCAAGACAGATATACTCAATTGTTGCATCTCACATTTAGGAGGAGTGATAAATATGGGCCAATAATGGTTTGAAATACACCAGCGTGATCTAACTATCATTTTTTCTTTAATATAATTCTAATTTTCAGCTAGTAAGGTTTAACCAGGTTACTAACATCCGAAATACTGAGTACACCCACCCGCCCTTGACTATCCTTGGTGTGTTTTATCCTATGCCCATATCCGATATATAAATCATTAATCAACAAACATAATATCACTCTCAAGGAGTGGATTGCAAAGTACTCCGTACACAGTTGGAAATGAAGTTATTCAGACTATGAACTACTGTAAGAGACCGAGGCGCATTTCGTTTCGAGTAGTGGGGCAATTCAAAATTGAAACGAATTTTTTTCTTCTTCGAGAACCATCAAATGTCAAATATCATCATCTTCAGGCAGGTATTAAAAATATCCCCATCTCCAACTTTACCATGCTGGAAAAGTATCTCACACGGGAGCGCAGGAGGGATCAGGAAAGATCTATAGAGGATCAGAGAATCTATTCTCGCACATTTGACCTCCATCAATATTTCTCCCCCGCCAGTAGAAATACCAAAAGGTTCATCTATTACGATCAATCCAAGGGAATATCCATGGTCCATGATGCCAACTTGATGTCCGGCGACCCAAAATCTTTGGTTGTAGCCGTTGATGGAGCTTGCCCTCATAATGGGAGTGATTTGGCAAAGAAGTCATCTTTTGGGATATTTTTCGGACAGAATTCGACGTTCAATCTGTGTGAAACGATCGAAAGACCTGAAGGGGAACTCCATACCAACAATTACGCGGAACTTATGGCAGTTTACCGCGCTTTGAAACTTGTTGGGGATAGCTCATTGTTGGAAAGCTGGAGGGCTCAGGATGGAGAAGGACTCACCGCTATGATCATGACGGATTCAGCATATGTATCCAACAGCTTCACCACATGGATTTGGAAGTGGCGCGAGAACGGATTCCGGAACGCCAAGAAAGAAACTGTCGTTAATTGCGAGTTAATAATCAAGATTGATGAGCTTATTGGGAATCTTGGTAAGCGCAACATCAACGTTAGATTTTGGGACATTCCAAGAGAAGATAATACGGAAGCAGATAAATTGGCAAATTTGGCTTTAGAAGATGGAGATGGAAATGGAATACAAAAATAAGGGGGATCGATCAGACGAAGCTCTTTATATTTCTCTATACCATGTGACATAGATGACATAGATGACCAAGTACTGGCCCGGTTCGGGCTTTTCAATATTTCACTTTTGTGTTACACAGCGATCACTCACCAGGGCCATGGCAGCCCATGGAAACAGTCTCATATGGTTCTGGGCTTGGTGCCGAGACCTCGCGAGGTTTCGGAGAGAAAGAAGTGCAAATCTTGAGACGCTACTAAGAGGAATTATGTCTATTAAAGTAAGATGACGGTTATCTCCCGGTTTAATATCTTTGAGGGCACGAAAGGTTTTATGCATTGGGTAGCCACAATGTATATACAGTAATAAGTGTGGAAGTGTGTTATTTAGATCATCAGATTACGTCGTAGAGGTGCTAGGGAGCTATAGAATGGACGGATAATGGTTAGAGTTAGATTCGTAGATTCAGAAAGACTGATTCGGTTGTCGATATAATTGTATCTTAGTATTATATCACTGAAAACCCACCTCCAACAAAACTCATACTTATTGACTACTAATCCTACGCAAACAAGGACACGAACAATCCCCCCTCGTCCCCATAGACAAAACTATCCGCAACAAGTCCTCAGATACCAACCATTCCATTGTTCCAACATAATATTGCTGAAGGGACGGAGGGGAGAGATATTCGAGTAGCTCTGTCATGCAAAGGAAGAAGAATTACACGAGAAGAGCGAATGGTAGCTTGTCAAGACCAAGCTAGATATATTCTAATAATTCCTGATAATTTCATGATATAAATCCTTTACATTTCCTGCAGCTCAAAAAGATATTAAGTCTATTTCCAACCATTATCATGAATATATAAAAGTACCGACATTTCGCAACTTAACCCCATTATATAACCACTCTCCGCACCCAACTCCCCACCCACTCATGACAGTGCTCACTCACCAACCACATCCAATTACTCCCCCAAGTAAAGTCCAGACTCTCATATCACCCATCGCACAATTACCATTCACAGCAACGCCCCGCCCCGCCTCTTATTAGCAAATTAGAAAATGTCGGTGTGATAACCCTCGATATCCACACTCTCGTGGTGCATACATGTACATATTTCATGACCCCACCTGTGCGCGCATCGGCATGCACAATTGTCACCCCCACCAGCCACCACCCACCCACCGTGATATCGTCAACTCCGTACACTAACCCCGCTTGAGCTTGAGATTGTGGTTGCTAGGGAGACAAGTACGCACGAGTCACAATGTTGCTTGAGCTCTGGATAGGCAAACTGTTGGAATGGGGTTCAGAAAGGATTTAGAATTCGTGATAATGATATGCATATGAGCCCCTGAGAAGTCACATTACTCAGGACTGCCAATCACATAATCGTCTTCACGTAGCTATTGATGAGACAGTTTGGGACAATATTTAGATTTGATTCGTAGTTCATTGGACGACAGTTGGTATCGATGGAGTATCACATTATAATTCGTCGTCCGAGCCCGATTCGGTCTCAGATCCATCATTTGTAGGCTTAGGCGCAGGTACGGGAGCTGGCTTTTTGGCGAATGGTAATTCCCTTTTAGGTGGTAGCTCAGCTATTTTTGTGGTTTCTGTTGGTTTCGGTGCTGATTGCATTTCCTCGTCAGATTCTTCATGAATAACATTTTTCTTCACGGGAAGCCGAGACTTTGGCAGCGGCGCATCCATTTCGTCTTCGGAAGCAGTCTCATCATCCGACCGTTCAGGAGTTTGTACTTCTGGTTTGTTTGATTCGTCGCCGGTGTCATCCTCGTGTTGGTCTTTGTCGACATCCATCTTTTCGAACGCATCATCGGAATCATCTGAGCTTTCATCCTGGACTTCTTTTCCAGCCTTTCGCTTTCCACTTCTCGATGCGCCGGCGCTTCTAGACTTTCCAGATCGTGTAGCTTGCATTGCCTCGACCTTCTCAGTATCAACTTTGGCGCCTGCTAACAATCTTTGTTGGTCCCTTATCTTGAGTTTCTTCTCATTTAGTAGGAGGGTAAACTTTTCCAAAAGTTGGTTCTCATGGTCGACTTTAAGTTTATTCAATTCCTTAAAATTCTCATTGATTTTATTCAACGACTCCTGTTGTTCCCTATACTTAATTCGTAACGCTTCCAGCTCATCCTTTGACGAATCCGCGGATTTCGTTGCCAGAGCGCACCATTCGAAGAGGCCGATTTCCTCCTCTTCGGTTTCATCCAGTTTGATAGTGCCGAGACGTTGCTAGTATGTAATCAGTATCTTGTATGATAGATCTGCCATCGTAAAGACTAGGATGAAAACGTACTTTGATCCCTTCAATAACCTTTTGGATCACAAGGGTCATTGCTTTCTTCTCCACTTTAGCATGAATCTCAACCCCTCTCGTCACAGTCTCTTCTCCTTCCTTCGGCGGCTCATGAAGCAAAATGGAAGACAATATCAGAATCCATTCTTCATTTTTACACGGAGAATTCTTTGACTTGAGTGAAGATATCTTGCTGTGCTTCACTAAAAAAAATAAACAAAGTTAAAAATAGGTCCCGCAATTAACGCATGAAATTGAAAATCAGGGTTAATGATCAGGGTTGAAAATCAGGGACCTTTCAAAGCTGGATGATCAAGGTCGGAGCTTACATGAGACTACAAATACGAGTTCACCATCCGTCCCAACCAACTTCACATCCAAAGGCCGCGACCCGGTAGATTCGACGTGCACAAGAAAAGCTTCATCATAATTCGTAGCGCTGGATGTGATATGAAGAACCGCTGGAAGTTGCTTCGCCGCCATTGTAACCGTAGTGCTGATCAAATAATTGCGGTTTAATGATGTTGGTGATGGAATGGACCTGAAAATAGATTCAAAGCATTGGAAATGGCAAGTAAGTAATAAGATTCAATGTAATGATATTAATTTATTTACTTTGTATTTAAATAGATCTTAGATATCTGATCAGGCAACGAGAAGAACTTGTTTCTCTTTGGACTTTAGCTGCCTAACAGATCAAGGTTCAAGTAGCGAATTAAAAAGGGTTTTGTTGATATACGCAGATAGATTACAAGTATAACTCAAATGAATCATAATAGATTGTCCAATAAGATGAAAAGAGTAACTGGGAAAAAGAGTATAAATGTACGCGACGCGTTTAATTTCTTTTAAATTCGTTTATTTCAACCAATCAATCCTTCTTATTCTCATCAAATCCTCGTGGCTGGGTCAGTATTAATGAATATTTCCTCGAACTAGCCAGCCACAGAGCTTCATTCATCGCAATTCATCCACTCATCCCCAGTGAACACAGCGGAGAACTAAATTTTCAACCCACTTCAATCTTGAATATCCACCCGCCAGGAGTTATATCGACAGATTCATTAAGATTTCCAACAACAACATTTGGTACCTGCCCTAAAAGGGCGCTGGAGGTTTGGATACCGGCGAAGGTGGAAAGATATCATCAATTCAATTGAAGCCAGAGAGATCAATAATAACGAGAACGAGCACCGAGCACACATCCACATCGAGTACCACAAATTCGAAACCACGAAATCACCATCGCGACCACGATTGCACTGATTAAACTGATTCATTGATTCACTTATACATTCGCTACTTAATAAACACGAAACAAGACAAAACAAATTACAGTTGCAGATACCTTTTTTGACAACAACAGTAACGACCAAATCTACAATTCACAAGTGTTTTACGATATGAATACACGACATTGATCTTCCCGCGATTGAGCTTCTCCAGAACAGACTCATACCTTTGCTCGTATTTGAGAATAAGTATACCTTCGCAGTGCTTCAGCCTTCAATAATCTGCGACATACGACCTGTGTTCCAAGATGGATCAATTGGTATTGGAACCGGGGAAACCTGTGGAGGATGATGTGGAGAATTGGGATGATGACGATCTTGATATTGGGGGCGATGATTTTACACTTCGAAGTGCCTCAGTAGCAACGACTGCAACCATTGCTTCGACACGCAGAGAGTCTGTTTCTTCACGTTTGTCTATAAGATCGGACTTCAATGAGGAAAGACAGGTACATTTACCAGAAGATGATGAACGAGCCACAAACGATGCGATCGCCACAGCAAAAAGAGCCGGCATACCTTTACCAGAGAACATACCTTCCTCGGCTTTATTGGGAGGAACTATCAAAAGACTTGGTGGAAGAAAAGTGCGGAAAATAATTTCAGACGATTGGGATGATGGGGACCTCGAAGTACCCGCTGGACAAGCCCTGAAGATCAAGCGGCAAGATGGTTCTAGATTCCCAGAGACACTCCGTCAAGTGAGTGGCGGCTCGAGTTTCTTGAGTCCCCAAAAAACATTGATGGCTGCCCCAGTATTCCATGTTAGCCCTAGACCTGAATTGAAAACAAAGACCGCATCGACCAACATGCTTGATCGTTACCGAGATGAGGAAGACGATGACTTCCTTGGAGATGGGGAAGCTACCATAAAGGTTGCAAAGAAACGAAATCCACAGTCCGTCATATCCATCACGTCACCCACACCAGAGAAGCCTACAGAAACCGAAGAAGATTTTGAACAAGATCTGCAATTCCCTTCCGATGGAGCTCTGAAGCTCACTACCCGTAAAGATATCCCGAAGACCCCCCAGAGCATCCAGGACGATTTTGACGATTGGGGTGAAGGTAGTTTAGGTACTCGATTTGGCGGAACAAAAAGAGATGGTCGATCCAACAGGAATTCAGATTCATTTGCTATGAGCCCCAGTATTGCCAGTTCCATGACTGCTGAGAGCGAAGATGAAGGTCTTGATGGTTTGGTGCTACCCAGCGGCCCCCTCAATTTCGATGACATTCTCAAGAAGCGTCAACAAAACGATTGGTCCCGTCAAGTAGAGGCAAAGCAACCAAGAAAGAGTTTTGGTGGAAAAGATGACTTCTTGACTGGGCTTGAGATTGGCGACGGGGACGTGTTTGATTCGAAGAAACTCACATTAAATCGTAACGTTAAGGTCAAAACCACTAAACAACAAAGCCCAAGTCGACCCAAACCATCCGTTTCATTGACTTTCACGAACAAACCCGCGCCACCTTCTACCTCACGACTCCCTCGGCCACTTGGACATGAACGCATTCCATCGTCCCTTGAGCCTGTCTCGGAGTGTGGCGGCCCAATACCAAATCGAAATCGTAGGTCGCAATCTAGGATGGGACATTCAACTCAATCTTCAATTAATAGTGTCGGGATACCAAATATGCCATCTTCCAATCATCCGTTGCCTACATCAACTCCTCGGCGTCGTGAACTAGGCTCAAAATTATCCGCCTCGACTTTACGCAATGAACCTACAACGACCAGTTCACAGCTCTTAAAGCTCAAGCGATCAATGCCAACCATGAAAACTTATCAGCCATCGCCAGCTAAGCCAATGCCTACACGATATGAGAGACCACCATCTCAAACGGAGAGTGGTAATAGGCCACTCTCAATGTCTCGGTCTAAGGATTCTGTCGAAAGAGATCGATCTGGAGCTGAATCCAGCATGTCTCTCGCTAGGAAGAATCATGTTCCATTTCTACCTGCTGGTGGTCCAGTTTCTCAATCTCATCATGTTACCGCAAAGACATCCCGGCATTTTCGTCGTCACGACTCTGAATCCTCAACTAACAGCGTTGATTTTCGACCGCCATCAAGAACATTTTCAAGGCAAACAATGCGATCGCCAAGTCCGCGTAGAACGCTTAGAGGTACTGATGTTCTTGCTCGGGAAGCTACATTGAAGCGACAAATTACAAAACCTATTCGAAGAAGACATTTTGGCGACGGGCGTGAACTTGATGCTTTCGATGATCTACCCACTTCGCGAGATGCAGAACAAAAGTTTGTTAAGGAGCCAATTGGCCGTGGCCCACCGAAGCAACTTACACTGCGCAATAAGGCTCACCAACACATTATGCCCACACGAACCACGTCACCTATGCCATTGACACCCTTGACACCAGCTAAAAGTAGGAGTGAACTACCACGCTTTGCTCGCGATACTGCTGCGAGTCGCATGGCACGAGAAGCAACATCGTCTCATCGCTCGGTTTCCGGATCTGGAGCTCCTCTTGCTGCCCTGACAAACCAATGGAGGGCCAAGGTTGCAGCAACGACTGGACTCAGTCCCGTTCATGCCCAAGGCTCAGTTAGATCAAAGAAGAACAAGATGCCCCAAAAGCCGCAACTTATTAAGCCATTGGGAAATATCAATAACCCTAGATGTGTGTACTTCCTCCCAGACTTAATTCTGCTCATCACTGACACTTTTCTATAGCCGTGAAAGGAATGCAATATGATCCTGTTAATTATCGATGGGAAGGTAATGAAATTGAAGTATCGGCCTTTGATCTGCCCGCTTCCGCAACTTCAACAGCTTCAATACCTGTCCAGATACCACGAGTAGCAGCACCACAAATATATCGAGAAAAGGAATCGTCGACTCCTCGTCCTGCTCTTATCACCAATATAAATTCTGCCCAAAATGTCCAAGTCGTTGGTGGCATGGTCTTTGACCCACAGCGTATGTGCTGGCTCAAGATGCCTAGCGATAACAAAAGAACAAAGAGTGATTCTGGAGATACTATGGATGGTTTTGATGCACTTGATGAGGAGGAGGAGGATGTTTTCAAGGATGTTCCTGATCTCGAAGATGGTCCCTCGAAGGAATCTGACGAAGTTTCTGGCCAAAAGGGTGAAGGTGCCAGTGGTCTGAGCGACTGGCTTGTTGGTGAGGAATTTGATGTCGGTCCGGAATTTGTCAAACGACAGAGAGAAGAGGAGGAGCGCTGGAAAAGAAAATGTGAGAAATGGATCGGTGCTGCACGCGACACTGAAGGGAACTCCTGGAGATGGAGTATCCGAGACGTAGTAAATGAATTATGAGTATACGCCAGGAACGGGGTATAAGGGGGTCATGCAATGTACATTCTTTGGGATAGTACATTATCGGATAGAAAAGGTAGGAAATATGCCGAGGTGGGTAGGATGGATCTTGGTATGTACTATGATGAGATGGTTGGGGGTTTTTTACTACACTATTTGCATAATGCTCTATTTTGGGGGAATTTTTAGGCGACGCGACACCAGGCGTATATTTGTGGGAAAAGAATATCCTTGGTTGGGAAGGCTTATTATCTATTTTGATAGATGGGATATCACACGACGAGAAATGGAAACGAAACGGACAAAAGCTTAATAGAGCTACGAAAGTTATGACTGTTATGATCGGGTTTATAACTTGTATTTCTTGTACTCTACTCCTATCACTCGGTTCTTGGGGTTTTCACTTCATCAGATAATATTATGGATATCGTTACTGGGTTGGAGATATATATATATCATGAATTTAAAACGATTTTTTCTTATACATGTTGGTTTTTGCTGGGAATATTTTACTTGAGTACAGTACTCGAGTATAGAGATAGGTGCTGTTAATAATAGAGTACGTGGTGATGTTATTTTGACAATAAATAGACGATGAGGATGTAATCTTATAATACAACTCGAGTACTCAATTCACAAATGTAAGATTACAGTATATCTATCGAGTGATGGATAGCAGGTATACGTAAATGGCACAGTAATTAGGGTAGCACAATCGCACTTTCATACCTGTCAATTTCCCCCTTTCTTTTGGGCCAACCAAGCGGTGTTTCCTCGCTAAAATGTAGTGTAGCATCGGAAGAAGTCTTCGCGAACCTCCCCTTTTTTGGATATGTATATAATGTACTCGAGTACTAGAATATAATACAAGGAAGGGTTGGTTTACGCGAGTATTTGGGTTAGATGGATGGTTTTTGTGGTGTATTTCTTATTTGTGTATGAGTATAGGTATGCGTAAGTAGGTTGTGTAAGTGATGAGGTGTGTTGGATTAGATTGAACTAGGTTGGATTGAATTGGATATCTTTATATAGTTATATTGATTTAGGGGTTTCTTGCTTTTTTTTTGGGCTTGGGAGTTTGTTGTATGTGTTAAGGTAGGATAGGCTGGGGTAGGATATGATACAATGCAGTGCATTGCAGTGGATGAATAGACTCATGACTTAGTAGGTTCGGATGTCGGATGTTTAGGGGTGTATTGGGGTGTAGCTATTTTTTTTATGTTCAGTTTTATGAATGGGAAAGTGTAACGGGTGAAAGTGTATGTGTTGTATTATTCAGCGATGTTGAGGTTTCTTCCAAAGTTTTGGGTTGGGAGGGAGGAGAGATGAGGGAATGGGAGCGGAGAGGAAGATGAGGATAGTGACTTGGGTGATGGTTCCATGTACAGTATGACTGATTTGTGGAATGAGGAATAAGGATTCAAGATTAAGGAATAATTGGAGTAATATTGATTGGAAAGTTGATTTGGAGTATGAGTAGAGGAGAGGTCAGTAGGGTGGTGATATAGTCGAAACTATTATTTTATTATACTTTTTTGATTATAGATATTTCTTATTCGGAATAATTATATTTAAATGAGCTCTGTATATTCGAGTATATAATTTTTAGTCATTTTATATATTTATGATATACTTTCTTCAAGTTATATTATCGAAAAAATATATTTAAAAAGAATTCAAAGTTTTGCCAGTGCTTATTTTATTAATATATTTCAAAATCTCTGAATTCTTTCAATTTTATAAAAGGAGCTTGTAATAAATAATTATTCGAGTCAAAAGAATATTTGCTCCTGGAATAGTTCTATAAAGTCGATTATAATAATATAAAACCTATAAATGTTGATGAGTAGTTATAATATAAAAGCCCGATATACAAAATCGAAAGTTGTCTAGAATAATAAGAAAGATTATTTAGAATCGTGATTCCGAATTATGATTTGGCATAAAGCAATACTTGGAAACATTTAACTGGTATAATGACTTGGAGTATAATTTCGGGGAGGGTTAAAATCAAATGATGAGTTGTGATTTGAATCGTGATTTAGTATAAGGTATATATTGAGAAATATTTACTGGAATATTGATTTTGTGTATGATTTCTGGCAGGAATTCTTCAATAAAGAGTTGTAATTCGGGATTATGACTTGATATGAGGTATTGTTTGCAAATAAGTGATCGGTATGATGATTTGAAGTCTTAACTGAGGAGATTTTATTGGATAATGAGTTGTAACTCGGAATATGGCCTGGTATGAGACATGATTCCCGAATAAATGATCCAGATATCGAATTAATTCGATGGCACAGTCAAGATGCCGTGGAAAGGTCTCTGAGCCGCTTCAGAAGTGCTTAAAAGGAGGCAGATACCCCTCGAGGTTGAAGTTCATCAACCAAAAACCAAATACAATCGTAAACCGAAATCAAAAATCAACACAAACATATCGAAAACTTCAAACACTCTCCATCTATCAAACCAAGATCGCCTCAACCTACTACGTACATCTAACTACTTTGTTCTTCCTCGAATAAAAAATACATCAACCTACATACCCCACGGTCGAACTTCATCGTCCATCCACCTACCTTGTCCTCTGTCAAAAATCATATCAAACATAAGAGTCTCTTCCCGACTAGCCACTCTCTCTCGATCATCATCAAACATCCCTTTTCTTACAGATCATCACCATGTCCGGCTCTCAATCTGAACAACAACCCCTAATCCGTAGGTCCTAATTACACCCCGTGGGTAATGAACTAAACTGACCATTTACTAGCCGAGAAAATTTACGGCGTCTCCGTTACATTCGCCAATATCAGAGAATACGAAGCTGCGGTCTACGCCCTCAGGGAGATTAAGGAAAACTCGGAGTATGCGCAGAAACGCGATGTTCTGAATGCCAAAGGAAATGCCATGATCGAGACACTCAATGGCAAGTATAGTGATAAATTGCTTGTGCATAACAATCTTCTACAATCCGTCCAGAGCCTTAATAATAAGCACGGGAGGGACGGAACCACTGAGGAAGAGAATGAAAAGCTGCGAAATGATATGCAAATGCTCACTGCCACAATAAATGCGCGTAAAGACGAGCTGTTGGGTATTGAAAAGTATATTAAGCGTATAAAGAAGGCCCAAGATTGCAGAGGATGAAGGAGCAAGGGGAGTTCCTTACAATCCCAACCTGGCCTCGCAATAGTGCTTCTCCATTACCGCCAAGGGGGGTCGTCGTTAATCCGTCTCGATTATGCATGTCTCTTCAGGATTGCGAGGTGGGGTTAGGTTAGGGTTAGATGTGATGTGCTAAAAACCCAAAATTGTAACTTTCAACTTGGAGGATTTTTACTGCTCGGCAGAACGCGTGACTCTATATACTAGATAGCTTCTACAACAATAGGATGCATTCTGGTTATACGAGTACTTCTGATACTATGTCTGTGTGCACATGCTATGCTCGTGATCATAATAACCACTGGATAGACCGAGAACTAGATTTGTGCAACTAGTCAGCCTAAGACAGCGCTGATTGGAACTGAGTAGAGTTAGGAATACTGTTGAAGCTTTCGAATGTGGTCTTTTCTTCTTGTCAAGAAATGGTCATAGTTGCGCAATAGGAATTAGTACGAGACGTCAAGTCTCGATAATATTATAAGGAAGAAAAATTAGGAAATCAATCCTCGAGACAAATAGAGTATGGGTATTGTATTAATCAATCACTCAAGCAATAATCCTACTTAATCCATCTTCTTCAGGGGAATATACATATGATCGTACTTTCAGGCAACCAGAGTAAAATTTCGATTAGTTACTCCACTTTTCCTTTCTCTCCTATCTTGTATTGAAAAAGCTGGTAAGTGCTGTTGTAGCAGGAGATTTCGTGAACAATGGGCATCATGGAATGGTATCGTATTGTATACTCGTCCAGGGGGGGTATTTCCGGTAACAAGATCGGTAAAGGCAGGCCCAAATATCCAAACTTCGGCCGTTATCGTGTCGAAATATGCATCGATTTCCGGGAAAAGAGATCAGTTTGTCGACAACATGTAGGTCGTGGGCACTTTGGTGATTGTATGAAGTGTTATTTGGGGCGTCTCCATCAGTCGTGCTGAACAAGAGCGAACTCCAGTTGGCTTCTATGTATGAGCTCCAATAGCGCAATGAGAAGTTTTCCGTTGGAGAAACTATCGTTGATGATACACCACTGTTGTAATTTTTGGCCTCCTTTTCCGTGATAGATCTGGGGTATCTACCTGCAAAACCATATCCAAATATACTTCTAGATTCTCAAGCAGACGCATCAGAATAGGAACGGTAGCCATATTTATCCGGAGTATAGTAAAGGGCCGTGCGACTTAGCTTCCGATACATTATCTAATGATGATCGCTGCTGCAATCCGGCCCGAAAGGGATCCTGAAATTCTCTCCGCGATCTTTTCCAGCATTACCATATACATGATGATGACCCCAAGATGCATTTCCATGTGATTTCTATCTGGAGAGAGAATACCAACGTCATTCGCTAAATTCATTACTCGCAGGTCACAGGAACGCATACACCCTCGGAAGTATCGCAGGCTTGGTGAGTTTTGTTCAATGGGCAAGCTGGCTTGCAGTGATCGATTAGCCAATGCATCAGCACCACGATTCTGCTCCCTTGGAACACTCCACAACCGGACGTCAATATCGTCGTTTGAAAGGAGTTCAATCAACTGGTGGATGCGTAGGATGAGATCTGTATTGGTGATAGGCTTTCTTTCGAAAGTCTTGAACCTATTTTGCAACCAGCCCTCAATCCATTTGGTAAGACAGTCGAGAACGTACTTCGAGTCCGTCATCATAATTACTGGCAATCTCCTAACCATGTGCTTCTTTCTCCAATCTCGTAGTTTGATGTTATGTTTGACAAGTTGGAGTGCATGAAAAGCCGATCTTAGCTCAGCATAACTGTTTGTGTACTTCTCTCCGGGAGGTCTTGTAATCACGTCGTATGTGTTGAGTGGTGATTCAGGCCCAAAGAAAACGCCAAAGGAGGATTTTGTGGCCGAAGATTTTCCATTGTGTGGACAGGCTCCATCGACAGCTTTAACCAAGGCCTTCTGGAAAGACCCATTAGACTTCTTGAATACATCAACCTCAAAGTGATATTCCACGGTAGAAACTCCACCTATCGCAATCAATGAATTTTTCAGGAGTAGGATCGTGAAAATATTGAACCGGATTAAATTATCGAGCCCGAGCCTGAATATCATGCCTGTGGCCAGTGATCATGGAAGATCTGGCTTGTCTCTGCTCCAATTTAATATCTCCATCCATCTTGATGTGAGCGTGAAAGCCTTCGCGTGAAATCAAGACTGGCATTGTGTTTGTCTCCTGTTTTGATGGATAGCGTTAGGTGCGTCTAGACAGAAAGTGTTTGTTGAATGTGAAGCACCCTTGGTCACTTTTCCTTATTCGGCTGCTAAAAATCTTTGAGACGAGCTTTGTTGATGTGAGATTGGAAGTAGAAGTGGACGTGGAAGTGAAAATGTTTGTACGATTATGAGTATAAGTGTAAACGCATTAGGAAGAGGGAAAGGATATATAAAAGTGGTGTATGAGTTTATTACAATAGGGGTAATGTAACATGAGAGTTTGAGTGGGGCGACCCAAAATAAGCATAAGGAGGTAGATAGTTCTACTTGGACTTTGATATATGTACGAGTATGCAAATGCAAAAGAATAATAATGACTCGATGTGATCTGTTATTCTATGCGGAAGTGGTAGAGATTTCGGAATAGATAATGGTACTGTAATAGTATATGTGATTTGATAAATAGTATCCTACGAGTAGGTCACGAGTAGGTCTTTCTGATATACACCGAAATTAAATTTGTACTTTGATAGATAAGAATGGTTTGAAGTTACTTCTTATTCATTATGAGTATACAATTTCCTCGTTAGATAGATTATAATCAACTCAACCTCAAATGGCATGAGTATAATACGATGCTTTTTTCTTATACTCACTCATTCAATAAAGCTTTATACAGAAATTCATCTTGTTGTCAAGTCAAGTGGGTGGGTGGTATGTTAGAGCTCTGAGTTCATATGATACAAATACATTCATCTATCAGGTACTAGGTATCTATCTACCTGATACCTACCTGGGTAAAACGCTCCTACCTCAAGTTGCTAATTCCTCATCTGTTATGTTGTATGCAGGTTCTTGGATGACTCAACACACGTGACACATTTTAGCTCCGAAATTGCGTTTCTTCTTTTCTTTTCAATTCTCCATTTCATCTCTTTCAGTTCCCCTTGAGACTTGCAATCTCTCGTTGAGCCTTTCAATTCAATTCTTTCAACTCAATTCCAACTTGAATTCTCGAGTGGGACATATCTCGAGAGCTTCTTTCGTTACATAACTTTCACATTCGATATCTCGAGCTTCTCATCAGACTTACCACTACACAGCTGTATTATATCACATCAGCATGTCTTGTCACAGTCTCAAACCCAATAAGTTCCTAAAGTTAGTGGTACCCTCCTCGTTCAATTGCGTCCTCCCATTTAAGATCAGGAGCTAATGGTTGCAGGAACTTGGGAGAGAAAACTGTGTGTATTCATGTTGGTGTCGGTGCCGCTGTATGTATCATGGGTTCCATGTCAAGAGCAAGAAATCTCTAACCAATTTTTAGCGTCAATTATTCACTGTTCACAAAGCCATACTTCAAAGATGTACCAAATACTTTGAGTCGCAGAAGCTTTTCGATACGATGTCCGGGCAGCAAGGATTGATATTTCTGAATGAAGAGGATCCAAAAGTCTTCAAATTGTTTGTTGATTGGGCTTATAATGGTATACTTCACTCATCCAGACACAGACAGAAAGTTGAAATACAGATCAGTGAACAAATGACTAATGAAACCCGCCATGTACAGGTACCGTTCAAAAGCCTCGAACAAAGATATATGCCAAGACTACTGTATCCCAAACAGAAGCACGCCGTCTCGAGTCTGAGCTACTCCAAGAGTTTAATACTACTCTCGGAGCTCTAGTTAGCTTTGTTGGAATATCACTAAGATCATAATAGATATAAAAGTAGTAATATTGTATATATATATCCTTAGAAGTATTCTAATAGAATTGGATATATATATAAATGTATAAAGTATATGTATATAGACAATATTATGTGAACTATATCATGTAATCTTATATAAACCTAGATTACACTTCCAATATCCCTCTATTAATTAAAATAACCAATTACAAAGTATTATTAGACTATATGCCTGGATCCTATTCTTAATTAAACTCTAGGGTCTTACTAAGTTTTGTAATAATAGATAATACTATAATTGTCTGGATATCACTCACTCAGTTGTAGTGAGCGGTAGGGCTAAGGGTTAGGGCAATAAGGGACGCTTTAACCACCACAGAGCGTATATCTTTTAGCATTAGCATCTCTATAATTTAGTTCCTTAAGGCAATACAAATATGTGAAATACAATAATACTATTGACACTTCATCATTACCACAGTGATATCAATACTGATTAGTGATTCTGATTTTATCATTGACTCGTAGATCAACAAAATATTAACTTTGAAAAGATCTGAGTTTTTGTAGAAACATTTGTTCTTAGTGTGTTAGGAACAAATATCAGATTCAAATTAAAGAAATACAACTTGAAATTATAAATCTGTCTTTTTATAACGATTTTGTATTATATCATTCTCGAAGCTTATAGATTATAAATATAAAAAAACTGTAA